CACAAAAACTAACTCAAAATGGATCAAAGACTTAAATATAAAATTGAAAACAATAAAGATCATGGAAGAAAAAATAGAGACAATGCTAGGAGCCCTAATACATGGTATAAACACAATAAGAACCATAAGTAACAATGCACAAGCACCAGAAGAGAGACTAGGTAGCTGGGAGCTCCTAAAAATCAAACACTTATGCTCATCAAAAGACTTCACCAAAAGAATCGAAAGACAACCTACAGACTGGGAAAAAAATTTTGACTATGACAAATCCAATCAGTGTCTAATCTCTAAAATCTGCACGATACTGCAAAACCTCAACAACAAAAAGACAAATAACCCAATTAAAAAATGGGCAAGGATATGAACAAGCACTTTGCCAAAGAAGATATTCAGGTGGCTAACAGACACATGAAGAAATGCTCACAATCATTAGCCATTATAGAAATGCAGATCAAAACTACAATGAGATACCATCTCACCCCAACAAGGCTAGCATTAATCCAAAAAACACAAAATAATAAATGCTGGAGAGGTTGTGGAGAAACTGGAACACTTATACACTGATGGCGGGAATGTAAAATGGTACAACCACTGTGGAAATCGATTTGGCACTTCCATAAAAAGCTAGAAATAGAAGTACCATACGATCCAGCTATCCTGCTCCTTGGAATATATCCTACAGAAATAAGAGCCATCACAGGAATAGATATATGCACACCCATGTTCATTGCAGCATTGTTGACAATAGCAAAAAGATGGAACCAACCTGGGTGCCCATCAATGGATGAATGGATAAACAAATTATTGTATATCCACACAATGGAATACTACACAACAATAAAGAACAATGATGAAGCTGTGAAACATAACATGGAGGAAGCTGGAGGTCATTATGCTGAGTGAATTTAGTCAGTCACAGAAGGACAAATATTGTATACGACCACTAGGATAAGAACTCAAGAAAAGGTTTAAACACAGAAGAAAACATTCTTTGATGGTTATAAGGGTGGGGAGGGAGAGGGAGGTTATTTACTAACTAGATGGTAGATAAGAATTATCTTAGGTGAAGGGAAGGACAGCACACACCACAGGGGAAGTCAGCACAACTGGACTAAACCAAAGTTAAGAAGTTTCCTGAATACAATCAAACACTTGGAGGGACAGAGTAGCAGGGGTAGGAGTCTGGGGACCATGTTTTCAGGGGGCATCTAGGTCAATTGGCATAACAAAGCTTATCAAGAAAATGTTCTGCATCCAACTTTGGTGAGTGGCGTCTGGAGTCTTAAAAGCTTGCAAGTGGCCATCTAAGATGCATCAGTTGGTCCCAACCACCTGGCATAAAGGAGAAGGAAGAACACCAAAGACACAATGAAAGTATTAGCCCAAGAGACAGAAAGGGCCACATAAACCAGAGACTGCATCAGCCTGAGACCAGAAGAACTAGATAGTGCCCAGCTACCACCAATGATCGCCCTGACAGGGAACACAACAGAGAGTCCCGGATGGAGCAGGAGAATGGTATATGGTGCAGAACTCAAATTCTAGTAAGAAGATCAGACTTAATGGTCTGACTGAGACTGGAGGAACCCCGGAAAGTATGGCCCCTGAATTCTCTATCAGCCCAGAACTAAAACAATTTCCGACGCCAACTCTTCAGATAGGATTGGACTGGACTGTGGGACATAAAGTGATACTCGTGAGGACTGTGCCTTTTAGCTCAAGGAGATACAAGAAACTAAACGGGTAGCTTCTGTCCGGAGGTGAGATGGGAAGGCAGAGAGGGTTACGAGCTGGTTGAATGGACATGAGGAATCGGGTGGAAAGAAGGAGTATGCTGTCACAGTATGGGGAGAGCAATTAGAGTCACATAACAGTATATGTATCAATTTTTGTATGGGAAAGAATAAAAAAAAAAATGAAAGAAATACCAAACCTATAAGGTAACTAAAGGAAGGAGAAGGAAGGAAAGGACAGAGAAATTCTTCCTGGCTGGAATCTGGGCCTACATATATATTGTTTGAAGTTTAAATAATATTTTGACCAATTTCTTAGCATAATTTTTTTTTTCTACCTCAATACTTCCCAAATACTCTGATGGAATTGAGAATGTATTTTTTTGGCCTGAAATCAAGTAAAACAATTTAAAATCTGGCAGGAACTATTTCCTTCAAAGTTACTGTATTTGATCAAATTTAAGATGCCACTGATGGTATACAACGTGCTGTCAAAAAAGTAAAAAAAAAAATGTTTTCAGTTAAACTAATAACACAATGATTTATTCACCCATCAAATATAAGTCACAGTCCAATTTGAAGATATTAAAAGATAAAAACAATGTTTATCTTGAAAATATGAAGTATTTTACAGTATTTGAAAATAGGGACTCTAGAGATAAGAAGGAGCCCTGGTGGTGCAATGGTTAAGTGATACAGCTGCTAACCAAAAGTTCAGTAGTTTGAATCCACCAGGAGCTCCTTGGAAACCTTTTGGGGCAGTTCTACTCTGTCCTCTAGGGTCGCTATGGGTTGGAATTGATAGCAATGGGTTTTGGTTTTTCTTTTTTTTTTTGTTAGAGATAAGAAAAGGGAAGTGAGCAAGAGCAATGGCAACCCCCGAAGCCACAGGGACCTGTGTCTTTTACCTCCTAGGAGTCACCAGGGCACTGTCTCTTTTATCCCCAGAAGCATTTTGGTGTAATGAGTAGGTGCATGGTGGAGAAGGAGTCCTTGGGTGGTGCCAAAGCTGCTCAGCTCCTAACCGAAAGGTTGGAGGTTCATGTCCACACACAGGCACCTCAAAAAAAAGGCCTACTTCTGGAAAATCAGCCACTGAAAACACTGTGGAGTTCAGTTCCACTCTGACACACATGGGGTCGCCATGAGTCAAGAGTCGACTCAATGGCAAGTGGGTTGTTTTGTTTTTTTTGTTGTTGTTTTATTTTGTTTTGTTTTTTAATGGGTGGAGAGCAAGATGGCCTGTGCATCCGTCTCTGCCATTTCTTAGCTGGAATCCCTGGGCATGTTACTTAATATCTATGAATACACTTCCTCATCTGTAAACCAGTAAGAATAACTGCTGAAGGATGAAAAGAATTGATTCAAAGCACTTCAGACAGTACCTAGCAATAGTGAGCACTCAATAAATATTGAGCACTCTCATCCCCCCAAAATGAGTGTACTTTGCTTTACATAATAAATGTATTTATAAATGGGTTGTACAAATATTTTTAAAGAAATCTTATTCTAGTCTGTATCTGTTCAAAATGTGACTTAGGGAAGAAAAATAATTTGAAGAATCCTTTTTCTGGTATAAAAAAGGGGACCCCCTGCAAACCTCACTTAATTTTGATGCACAGTTGAATGTCAATCAGCTCTGGTCTGGTTACCCATATGGGAATAGTTAATATTGCTTGGTCATGCTGGAGTAATAAAATGTCAAGTCCTGAGTTTATATGCTAATATGTCAAATTCATCTTTTCCTGTTTACGTATACTTTCCTTACAACTGCCCAATTCACTCGTCCCTAAGGTACGTGATACTTGGCTCCAGTCCAATCGCAGACCTTAATAGTAATTAAATATGCTTACGTTTAGGTGGAATGCAAGATTACAACTACGTCTGGGCCCAGTGTTTTGAAATTACGTTGGAACTGTCATGCTGTAAATACCCTCGTGAGGAGAAGCTTCCACTCTTCTGGAATGATAACAAAGCCTCGTTGATTGAATATATAAAACAGGTGCACCTAGGTTTGTAAGATTTTCTTAATAATTCCTTGTTAACGCAAAACATAGCATCTGGCAAATAAAACCTTTGGGCTAAGAAAACACAAGCCGTCATCTACATTTTCTAGGTACAGCCTCATTTTCAGGACCAGATGGAACTAGTGGTGCAGAATTCTTTCTGCAGGTTTATCTGCAGTGTGTGCAAAGTTCAGTGCCCATCAGTTCATACAAGAGAAAGCATGGGGCAGGTTGTTTTGACGTAGGGATTTAAATATCCAGAATATCCCCAATTTCACGTGTTGAATGACCTGAAAATCTGGCACACAAAAAAATCAGGAAAACAGGCTATTACTCTGATAATCATCTCCCATTTAGAGAAAAGCAAAGTTTACTGACCATTTGCCACACAGCACCACAGGCCCAGAGAACATTTGGACATGCGTCTTTTGCAGTTTTTCCAGAAGTAGGGTGGTGACCTAGCAGCATTTACTTCAACCTCCCAACTCTGCCAAATGACCTGGCACTGCGAAACTCCCCTGTTTGCTGAAAACTGTCGTTTATCACAGGTGATCAAACTAAATGTGGCAACAGAGTGGCGGTTCTCAATGTGCAGAGACTCGGCTGGAGGGTTTGTGAAAACATGAACTGCCAGGCCCCATTCCCAGAGTTTCTGACTTAGTGGGTCTTTAATCTTTAACAAGTTCCCAGGTGATACTGATGCTGCTGACTCAGGGACCACACTCAGAACCACGGCACTAGAGAAACACACGACTTGCGATTATGATGGATGGAATACAGTGCACGTTTATTGAACCCATCTCACTGAGGGAACCAGTGTCTCTTTGGGCAGATGTGGATGGATCTTCTGCATTGTCAGAGTTGAAGTTATCTTTCTTCATTCAGAATGGCCTGGAGGAAGAAACCCATCACAAACTGGCACAATAGTTATGCTACCATGTCAAGCCAAAGTGGAATGTATCTGTGTCTGTTGAAGGTTTGCATCCCAGGCCTGCTGTACAATTGCACGATTTCTGATTTTCTACATGCTTCACACAAAAGCTGTCCATCTGCCAAAAAGGAGAGGAAGAAGGATGAGGGAGGCACAAATCAGAAGCACAGGGACAGAGGGCTGAGCACAAAGTAATTAGAACCTTCCTCAGCTGCACATCCCCAAAACGGATGCCCCTACCCCCTTCCACACCTACGGCCCCATCCCACCCCCTCCCCGAACAGAAGTCCACAAAGATTATCGGTGAACTCACAGGGCTGTGTCCAATAGTCATTCATGAGGTCAGTTGATTCCCTGTGTTAGGAGTTGTTAACAAAATGCCATCTTTCTCTTTCACCAACACATTCCTAAAGTTTACTAAGATTATTATTAGGTCTTCTTCCCTCTTCATTATATCCTCAAACTTTCTTTTGTGTCCTCTCTTGCTTAGTCTTCTGGTATTTCTTTCTCCACTAGAGTTTCCTCCTGAACAGTCACTACGAGATAGAATCGTCTTGTCTGCAGTGGGTTTGGTTTTGATTATATTACTCTGTTCTTTTCCAAAATTCATTCTCCATAAGAATCAACATGGGAGTACAACTGAACATGAAATATGCTCCATGTAACTGCTCTACTATTTCAATCTAGCTGTAAAGGTTATTTGCCAAACACTGAATTAAGGTGGGCTTTAAAGTATCATGCTAAGATAAAGTGAAGGAGTTTTGTAAACTGTTAAATACCCTGCAAATTGCAGCATAACTAATGTTATTGTTATTAATTTGGAGGGCTTACAGGTCCATTTATACTTAGTTTTATAAAGAACATTTCTGTAGCTGCCTGTCCCTATAATCTAATGTGCACAATTCACTTAAAAATTTATGTATTAGCATATCAACCCTGACCCCTTGTGGTTTAAGATGGAGGCATTTTTCTAGTTTAATAATGAAACCATATTTCAAAACACTGATACAATGTGGTTATTACTTGATAGAAAGGTTCTGGCCACATTGGTACCCAATAAGGAGCCACGGACTATTTTTGTTTGTGGTTGATGGAAGTAAACACCTCTTTATTGGTATTGCACTGGTTTAAGGAAACGACTAAAATTTGTCAATCTCTGTTGCATTCACTGGTTCCGTTTTACCACTTGCTTGGACACCTCTGAGTCTCCACGATTTTCACCCATCTGGTTTGCCTCTGTTTGGGTAGGAAAGGCCTCCTGCTCTAATGGAAGGGCCTGGCCAAGAGCGCAGGATCCTGGTCAGGGCCCAAGCTGCTTTGTTGTTCAGCCTTGCATGAAACCTTGAGCAAGTCGCTCAGCTGAATCTCAGCTTCAGTCAACTGAAAGCTGGGAGTAATAATCGCATCTGCCCTGCCTCACACCAGCTTGTTGTAAGGCTCCGAAGGGGTTTTTTTTTCCATTAAAACTCACTGCAGACCTCAGTCTAAACCCAGGCCCTTTGGTGGTGTGGAGTCATGCTTAGGGAGCCCTGGTGGCGCCGTGGTTAAAGGGCTTGGCTGCTAACCAAAACGTCAGCAGTTTGAATCCACCAGCCACTTCTTGGAAACCTTATGGGGTAGTTCTACTCTGTCCTGTAGGGTTGCTATGAGTCACAATTGACTTGATGCCAACAGATTCGGGTTTTTGGGGGGTTTTTTTGGTAGTCATGCTTAGAAGATTTACTTTGGACAGCCCTGGATTCGGCTGGGATGCAGTATCTGCAGACATTGAGGCCAAGGTAGCAAAGGAGGGCAAGTCTGATTTTTAGGAGCCTGGGATGTCTTTCTTGTCCTCCTCCTGGGGAGCAGCAAAGATGAATAAGACCCGATGTTACCTGCTGCTGCCACTGCTTCTCCCTGGACTCCACAAGGCAGATCGGAACTCAGACATTTGGGGGATGACTTACCGTACCCAGAAACCTAAGCCACCTGGGCCTGAGAGAATCTGGCATATGCTGAGTTCTAGAAGCCTGTGGAACACATATAGGGACCTACCATCAGATTTAAAGTAGGTGGCCGCTGTGATCATCGTGTGGGGACATGGGCATGAACAGGCCCAAGTACTGTCCCAGCTCTGACTCAGCTGTGGCCACCGGCTGACAAATTCCAGTTCTTGCCCAGAAGTTAATACATTCTCATTCACAAAGTTTATACATTTCCAAGAGAGGGAGAGCTTGCATTTCTTTTCCTCATCTCCAGATGTGGCCACAGAATCTAAGCCTTAGATTTTATGCCTTCTCCTTTGTTTACTATCTGAGCTTTTTTCAAAATCTTATTTTTCATTCTCCTGATGTAATAGTGCTGGCTGTCTTCAGTATCTGTCTCTCATCTTTTTTCAATGTTTCAAGTTCAGCATATAGAAATAAACCATATCTTCTGGTAAAACAATTACTTCCCTCTAAGTGAAAGGCTTGGTGATGCCTTGACAGAATACTGTAAAGACACATAAGATCTGAAGAAAACTTTCATTTGGCTGACAGCATGGGGTTTTTCTTTGAACAGGAATTCCATATTTAAGCATGGTCTGTGTTTGCTCAGTAACAGAGTGACGTTCAGATGCTCCAGGCCTCCATATTCTTGAAAAACCGTCTTTAGGCTTAGGTGAGAGTCATATGGAAATAAGTCTATGGATTTTGAGAGGATGGTGAATGAGAGTCAAACGGTGATAGGAAGACTTTTAGACATTCCCCCAAATCCAAATTATCCCTCTTTTTCCCATATCTGAGAGTAGGCAGATTATGGGTTAATTGAATCTTTGTTCATTTGTGACACATACTGATATGGGTGTTATATGGGTACATAAACCCTTTTTGTGCAACTGACACAAAAAAACAAGTCTGTTCTATTAAAGTGTGACCAATTCTAGCCAGGAAGGAATTTGCTACGCTTTGTTCAGGCGCCATGACTTTTTGTCTTGACATTTTTAGCCAACTACTCTTCACTGGCATCCTGAATCCTTTATCTTAGATGTTAAGGGACAGTGCGAAGTCAATCTCAAAGACAGTTTTGTTTTCTTTTTTATGGGTTTGGGTTTTGTTTTGTTTGATTTGTTTTTGGGGAAGTCAATGAAAAATGCAAAAGAAGCCAACGACACACTATCGCCACCACAAGCTATGCTGCACGAATTCATGAATTTTCTAAGTGGTGGGAAGGCTGTATGCTAACTCAGAGCCCTGGAGAAGAAAGGTACGCGTAGCTTCTTCCTTCACACATTCCTGTCCTTGTGAAGCAAGTTTTGAACTGAGATGCCAGAAACTTGTCTAATATTTCTGTCTCAATTTCAAACTTACTTAGCCACAGTCTTTCTATTCCATTGCACAGTTTTTCTTATCCAAATAAAAGAAAGGGATTAAGATGTGTTTGTTCTCCTGCTCTGTGTTACTTGCATTTAATCTTTACAAACATTCTGGGGTGTGGGGGGATTACATATTATACACATTTTACAGATGACAAATTTGAGGCTTGAGAATGTTTAGTGACTTGAGAACTAGGATCAAGTTTAGACCTATCTGACTAGGTTCTTTCTGTCACATCCAGAGAGCTGTGATGATTGATACATGCTATGTTGTCTAAGGTTTCAAAGGCTCTCCTTAACAAGGACACAATGTAAATAAATACCTCCTCAAAGAATAATGCCACTGAAATCTAAAGAATAATTGCATAATCAAGTTTCCAAATTATTAGCAATGTTTGTGATTGGGTACTACCCAAAGAGCAAAATGATACATACCAAGTAGTAGAAATAATGTAAATGGAACTTTTTTAAAAGAGAGATTATAAAGGAATAAATGACATAAAAATAGAGGTTTTATATAGTTGGCTTGTATTAAAAAGGTGAGAAGGAAATATGGCAATTCATAATTTCTACTCTGGAGGAAGAGAGGAGTCCCTGGGTGGTACAAATGGTTAAGCACTTGGCTATAACCAAAAAGTTGGCAGCTGACTCCACCCAGAGGCACCTCAGAAGAAAGGTCTGGCTATCTCCTTCTGAAAGATCACAGCCATTGAAAACCCTATGGAGCACAGTTCTACTCTGAAACACATGGGGTAGCCATGAGTCAGAATTGACTCAATAGCAAGTGGTTCAGTTTTTTGGTGTCTGGAGAAAGAAAAAGAAGAAAGAGACAGGAATTTTAAGAAAGTAAAAGGCAACTTGGGTCAGACAGAAGTTTGCTTAATGCTTGAGATAAAGATTTTGTTGCTAAATGTCAAATTTTTTATTTTTCATTTTAACCTTTTCTGGAGGAAACCATTTAAATTCTGCTTCATATTTTTCGGCCTTGGTAAGTAATTATTGAGTATAACTGTTTTGGGATAGCTTGAGGTCATCTTATCATTGTGGCCTGTTCTGTCTCATTTACGTCATTGGGTTGAAGTGGCAGCACCTAAAGATAAGCATGATTTGTCACTGGCATGAACAAAATGGAGTGTAAAATTTAGGATTTAAAATGAGAAGAATCTTCAAATAAAAACAAACCCATTGCCATCAAGTTGATTCTGACTTGTAGTGACCATGCAGGACAGAGTAGAACTGCCCCATAGGGTTTCCAAGGCTGTAATTGTTACCCAAATAGGGTCCATGCCCTGGAGCAGTTGAGCCAATGAAACATACTCCAAGTCAGAAAGAGAGAGAGTTTTAATTTGAAAGTGTACACCACCAGGGACCCAACAGCAATGCAGGCTGTCCTTAGGAGTCCCAAAAGGCATTTTTACATTAGAGCTTATATATGATTTTTACAAAGGTTGGAAGTGTTATTATTCATTCTAAAGTAATCACAAGAGACTGTTTATCATACTAAAGAGATAAGGAACCAGACATTTCCTTATCAGGCTAAAGATATACATCTCTGACATCTGGGCTCTAATCTTCCTGTGAGGGATCCCAAGTCATAAAACAAAGCCATTAACAAAGGTATGGGCAAAACAAAGCCATTAACAAAGGTATGCAAAAAGGGAGAAGGCAAAGAAAAAATTAAAAAAAACTTGTAGGTTCATCTTGGCGTTAATTATGTCAACTCTCAGTTGCCCATTTTTGAAAAGGAGAAAATATGCTGGGGAGTATTATGGTCATATAATCTTTGCAGAAGCAGACTGCCACATCTTTCTACCGTGGAGTGGCTGGTAGGTTCAAACTGCTGACCGTTTGGTTAGTAGCCAAGCGCTTTAACCACTGTGCTACCGGGGCTCCTATTAATAATAATAAAACCCTATCAACTGATTCCATGCTTCCAAGCAACCTTGTGAGTATAATTTTGTTTCCTATGTGGTTAGTCTGACCATGAGACAAAACTATTCAGTCCCTTAGATAGATAAGTATCTTATTGTAAATTAACACAGTGACATTGGGGGTTTTATTTTGTGTAAGACTTTATGGAATCCACCTATGCAATATTACAGTACCGTTTGTTGATGGAGTAAACAACTTGGAAATTGGAGGAATGGCTCTTAGATTGTCATCTGCGTTCTATCATGCTGATAATATGGGCTATAAATGGAATATTCAACAGCAACAGAAAATTTAAGCTATAAATGAGATTAGTAGCTTGACTGTATTTTACGTGGCATAAAAAATAAGATTACTTTTCCTTCTCTAATACTTTAACTCAAAACAGCTAATAAAATAATTACAAGAAATGTTTTTATTTGACAGAAAATTTGGTGTTTACATTTAATTTTCTTTTTGTCTTGTAGGTGTAAAAGGTCAAGTTTTTGATCACAACAGAATTCCATTACCCAATGTGATTGTGGAAGTCCAAGACAGATCACATATCTGCCCCTATAAAACCAACAGATTTGGAGAGTATTATCTCCTTGTCTTGCCTGGGTCTTATGTGATAAATGTAAGTTTACAGTCCTGGTTATTGTTATTAAAATATTATAGAATTCACAACACTTACTTGCCCAGAAGGAATCTAAAATAAAGTCTGGAAAGTCCAAGGGAAGATACTTCAGGGCCAAAGAAAAGGACAATGGAAAACGGGAGAGATAAGAACAAACCAGAAAAATTCATGTTTTTTCCCCAACTGGCAATTAATTTTTTTAAACAGAGGCCAGATCTTATTTCTTTCCACACTTTTTATGATTTAAAAAAAATGCAGCTAATTTTGTTAAGAATAGTTAAATGACATAGTAAAAGTACTTCTAAGCTTCATCAAATACCATTTTAACAACCACCCCATGAACCTAATTTATACTATTTTTTTTTTTAATGGATTGGGACAAGTTCCTTAGAATTCATTATAAGTGAAATGTGAACCACAAATTTTACCATTACATTAAGCAAGTGATAAACATATTTTGCAGCACTTCATAAGCAAATAGTGGTGAGCTTTCCAATTGATGCAAGTAAAATTCCGATTTTTAATTCTAAGATACATGTTTCGAAGTCATTTCTTTCTAAGGGAAGGAGACATAGAATAGTTTGAGCCTGAGTGGGTTTATGTGAATGAACTAAATGAGTAAAGTAGCTGATTTAGTTGGATAGATTGTGCTTCTTTCTTTTGATAGGACTTTTCTGTAAAAAAATTCAAGATTCTTCTACTTTGCTGGGTGGGCCTGATGCCAGCCCTAGCAGTCATTTGGCTGTGCAGAACTACTGCTGGGAGAAGGAAGCCACCTCTTCTGCAGTAAAAAATGGGTTTTTATTGCATTATTCCATTTTTTTAGACATAATGAAAGGCATAGCTTTTAGGTTATAAAGCACTGCAGGACTCAGAGCCTCCCTGCTGCATAGGACATCCCAGCATTGCGTGCAGTGGGGCTCATCCACGGCTGATCCTCTTCTTGGGGACCCTCCTCCTGCTGCACAAAGGGACAGAGCTGGACAACTTCTACTCACTGTGAATCCTCACCTAAAAAGACCTTCTGTTTTCCTGCTTACATACTCTAAAGTTTCCTTCTTTCCACGCCTGATTTTGATATTGCTTGTCCTTTGGATGGGAAGTCAGAGTGTATTAGGAATGTCTGAATACGTTTAATGATGAAGTGAATGACTGTACTGTTAGAGGCTGTATTAACTGTAAACCTCCTCTGAGGGGCAAATGCATGTTGATACCCAAAGGATACAGCATGATTTACCAATTTTAATAAATATTAAGCTTCATGGTTTATGGGGGGGTTATTTTTTTTTCTTTCCAAACTCTAGTATTTTTCTTTTTCCCTTTTTTCCCTTTGGAACGAGATAGCCAGAACTTTGGTCTTCCCAGTGTCTAGAAATATTAATTCTACTAGAATATGTGCTTTTCCCTGTAGTGACTCTAAATTATTTTTATGCAATCCCATAAATAATCCCTTATAGAATAAAGTTATGAATCATTCATTCACCTTTACCTAGGCTGACACAGTACACATTTGCTATAGCTATCAGCTCTAGGAAGGAGCCCTGATGGTGCACTAGTTAGTGTGTGGCTGCTAACCAAGAAGGGTTGGCAGTACAAACCCAAGAGCCACTCTGAGGCAGAAGGATGTGGCAGTCTGCTTCTGTAAAGATTTCAGCCTTGGAAACCCTATGGGGCAGTTCTACTCAGTCCTGTAGGGTTGCTATGAGTCGGAATCAACTCGATGGCAATGGGTTTGATTTGGTTTATTAGCTCTAGGACAAGAATGGAAGGCAAGACTCTGGAAGTTGAATGCATGGCTAAAAGGACCAATTAGTGATTATGTAAATGTAACTCCCGAGTCTTCTCCCTCTCCACTATATATAATAAAAGTATTTCTCAGTAGACATGGCCTATAGTTAATTCAGCATTTGTCTTATTTTTCCTGATTATTTCCTCCACCAAAAAAACAAATCTGGATGGCAATTCAGACTCACACAAACAAAACCGGGTCAAAACAAAGCCTTTTAAGGAAGCAATAGATTTGTACAGTTAGATCAGTCACAGGGAAAATGGAATAAATTAGGGAAAGAATTTTATTTATACGTAATCTTAATACCCACTGAGGATCCTAAGCACAGACTTAGGACAAAGTGAATAATCTTTACTTCTGCTCCAGGTCAATTAGCATGGAAATGGTGGTGGCAGGGTCAGTCTACTGCTTCCTTCTCCTGACTTATATCACCAGATAAGGGACTTGTCTTTCTTTCATTCTGTAATTCTTGGCAGCAGCATTAACAACTATGATCCACACGAACAGGCATTGGGTAGCTCATTCAGCAAGGAGGACCAAATCTGTTACTAGCCCAGGAGGCCTGGCCGACTATTACATACGTTTCACAAAGGCGCATTTTGCAGTGGATATCAATGTTTTCAGTATTGGCACCACGAGACATCTGAAATCACTCAGATAATTGTTTCTTGTTTCCTCTCAGGTTACAGTCCCTGGACACGAGCCACACCTCACAAAGGTGGTTATTCCAGAGAAAACCCAGAACTTCAGCGCTCTTAAAAAGGATATTCTACTTCCATTCCAAGGGCAATTGGATTCTATTCCGGTATCAAATCCTTCATGCCCTATGAGTCCTCTCTACAGAAATTTGCGAAGCCACTCAGCTGCAACAAAGCCTAGTTTGTTCTTATTTTTAGTGACTGTTTTGCACATATTTTTCAAATAAAGCAAAACATGAAATTCGACCCTTGTCACCACCTGGAATCAGGGATTACTCAAACCAGGTTACTGCAACTCTGATTTCCTCTGTGGGACCTCTATGGATAAATTCCACAGGCTTCCCTAAGATGAGAAATGGATGTTTCCAAATCCTGCAGCAAGCAATGTATGCTGATAATGAAAGGAATGATTCAGTCTTAATGATGCATGAAAGATACCTGCCTACCAAGTACTGCTCACTTACATTTAAGTTAATCTTGAAGATCGTCAGAAGTTAAACTTGAGAAGCAAAAAGAAGTTCCTACAAGAAAAAAAAAAAAGAACCAGAGAGCCAGATGAACATAAGCAATAAAGGTGAACATTTATCTATCACCTACTATATATACAAGACCTTGCCGAGTGCTATATATGAAGAGGAATTGCCATATATAATTAATTCTCAGCACGGAAAGAAATTATAGGGCTGGGAATATTTAGTTTTGCAAATGGTCTGAGGAAATGTGAGGGAAAATGGGCAACCACGTCTTAGTGGTACAAGAAAATATGGGTCTGATGGGATGACAAGGTCATATCTACAGAGCTGCAAATCAGTCAGCCAATTAAGTAAGTCTCTCTCCCTCCAGAGACAGTTTTCTTGCCTTTCTGCACCAGAATGCCATAGTCTTCTTTTGGGCTGATGACTTCCAAATGTGTAACTCTAGCCTCTTGCCTAAACTTCAGCCTCACATCTGACTGCCCGCTGGACACATCCACCTGGATGTGACCCATTTTTTTTGTTGTTGTTAGTGGTCGTCAAATTGGCCCCTGACTCATGGCAACCCCATGCACAATGAGATCTGACCATTGTGATCCATAGAGTTCTCACTGGCTGATTTTCAAAAATAGATCACCAGGCCTTTCTTCCTAGTCTGTCTTAGTCTGGAAGTTACTCTGAAATCTGTTCCACATCATAGCAACATGCAAGCTTCCACTGGCAGACAGGTGGTGGCTGCCTATGAGGTGCAGTGACCAGAAATCGAATCCAGGTCTTCTGCATGGAAGGCAAGAATTCTACCACTGAACCAACATTGCATTCATAGGCACCTCAAATGCATCTTGTCAAAAATGGAGCATACTTTTGTCCCTAGAGCTGCTCTTCCTCCTATCTCAATTAGTGTTGCCACCAAGCTGAAAACCAGGTGTCTTAGCTATCTAGTGCTGCTATAACAGAAATACAAGTGGATGGCTTTAACAAACAGAAATTTATTCTCTCACACATTAGGGGGCTAGAAGTCCGAATTCAGGGTGCCAGCTCTAGGAGGAGGCTTTCTCACTCTGGGGGAAGGTCCTTGTCTCCCTTCAACATCTGTGGGCCTGGCGTTCCTTGGAGATTGCCATGTTCCTTGGCATTAACCTTCTCCTGGGTCAAGGAGGTTCTTAGCACAGGGACCCTGAGTCCCAAGGATGCACTCCTCTCCTGGCTCTTTTTTCTTGGAGGTAGTGTGGTCCCTCCCCTCTCTGCTTGCTTCTCTCTCCTTTTATCTCTTGTAAGATAAAAGATGTGACTCAAACAAAGGTGTGACTTGAGTAAGGATGTGACCTGAAGGCTGTGACTTGGGTCATGCCCTTTAGATAGGGTGTGACTCAAGAGACACCTTACCCTAATCCTGCCTGATTACCATATAGAGGTTTAGGATTTACAACACATAAAACGGAAGATAATTACATAATACCACAAAATGGAGGAAAATTACATTAAATCATAAAATGGAGGACAGTTACACAATACTGGGAACCATCCCCTAGCCAAGTTGACACATATTTTGGGGGGGGGGGGGACACAATTCAATCCATGGCACCTGGGACCCATGCTTGATATTCCCTCCTCCTTCTTCACCCCATATATTGTCAGTCATTAAAGGCTGATGTTAATTATATTGATTGATTCTAGCCTTTTCTCTCCCTGACTGTTAACACTGCCAGGTTTAGGCCATCATATCTCACCTGCACCACTGCAACAGCCTTACTGGTTGGTCTCTTGCTCCCGCTCTTATCCTCTTCAAGCCCATCCTCCAGGCAGCACTGAGGAAAGGAGGTCTACTTAAAACAAAAGTCAACAATCAGCAGTGTGTAGTTCTTCCACACATAGCATGCTGTTTGTGCCCCCTCTGGAATGCCATGCTGACCACTACATTTTCTTTCCCCCTTCTCCTTTAAAACTCAGTCCAGGTGTCATCTCCTTCAGGAAGCCTTTGCTGACCACCATTCCATGATACCCCAACCTCTCCCAGTCAATCTGGGGTTAGGGCCCTTCCTCTTTGCTCCCCCAAATAAACTTTATTATTGAATTTACGACACTGTATGATGATCAGCTGCTTCCAGGTGTGCCTTCTCTGGTAGAGCTTGAGCTCTTTGAGACCAGGGTCTATTTAACTTGTTTGAAAAAATTCATTTTTATATCCTCAGAGTCTAGCACATAGTACTGAATGAATAAGTGAGTGGATGAACAAATTGTTCCAGCAACCTGCTATTCTCCGTCCCTCCCAGAAACTGCGTAGGGCTTTGAGACATTTTATGACATAAGGTCTTATGCTTTGTCAATCCCCAGCTCACTAGTAACCCTGAAGTGTGTTTTCATGTACGTATCAAGAAATAAACGCAAAGACAATGCTTTTACGGGACTTGGCATTTAGCCTAAGGTTCACAGTAAAGGTATTGTATTATCCGTTAATAGCACTACAGGCTATATTTTTTTATTGGAAAACAAAATTTTACCATTAGTACTCAGCTTGAAGCAATAGTTATCCACTATAACAAGAGTTAACCTATCTTAAAGCATTAGACATAGAAAAAAATTATATATAAGAATTAAGCAGGAAAAAAATCAAACAGAAAAAAAAATAGCAACTTTGGTAAGCAGATTTCTAAGTGCAGAGTATCACTCATGGAAAGTGAGTCATCTCAGTTCTTGTTTTAAACTGAAAGTTCTATACGCTCTGGAGACTGAACCATACTGGGGGCTTGGTACATGGTGAATGCTTAAGAATCACAAAGGAGTCGAGGGATAGATGGGCACTGAGGAGCCACTGCTATGCCAAGCTTATTCTACATTGCTGAAATCAGACATGTTACTATAAGCAAAATTTGTAGTCTTTTTTTAACCACTTCTTATAAAATCTGGTAACAACATGAATATTTTGATTACTTTTTAATTTAAATAAGCAGTAATTTATTATGTACTTGAAAGTATGTATTAATATATTGCAGACAACGATTTTGATGTATTACATACACAAGTATATCATACTAGATTTACCATTAAGCCTGAAACAGGTTTTTCAACTGGACATCCTGAGGTCTAACTTTTCTAAGATAGTAATCTTTGAAGGGACATGAACCAAAATCTGAATTGGTTCATGAGCCTTAATGTAAATTGTTTTACTCAAACAGTGTTTTTAAAATCAGAAATTTGTATCAAAATCAAACTTAAAATCATTTAAAGAAAAACAAAACAATTAAAATAATCTTCAAACCAAATCTAAGCCAAACTTGAATTTCTTTCAGAGCAGGTGTGGGTACATATTAATGCTATGGCTCTGTGCTCCAAATTGCAGTTCACAGTGAGGGTTTAGTATGGGGGAATTCCGGTTATGCCTGCCACTAACCAAGTGACATGTCCAAGAGGAGGAACAACCCTGGAATTCTGACTATAGTCAGACCAGGTCCCCAGACCTCCCTGCAGAACACCCTTCCTGCTATTTCTCACCCTCTCAAACTGGTGCTTGTACTCCTCTGGCTCTTAAGTTCATGTATAAATACTTCTATAGAGAAACCAGCATGATAAAGGTTTTCAAGATGGGAGAAAAGCAGATAGCAATGATGAAATAAAATGGTAATTAGAAGGCAGGAGTCCTAGGGTCAAGCCCTCCACACGTCCAGTTTCTTTATCTATAAAGTGAAGGTCCCTGCTTGACTGTGATTGTGACTCTTAGAAGCAGTGGTTTAAGATGCCACAGTTTGGTGCCATTTTTGGTGCTTGCCCAGGTGGACGAAGCATAATTAACACTCAGGTGACATAAATATTTTGAAGACAGTATATTATACCTTAGTAAAGCCCAAATCCTTTACCTCAAATATAAACAGAATTGGCCTGAAACATTAGTTAAAATGATCATTTAACAATATTTAAAGAAATTTTCATGAGATAACTTTTTCTCATGTACCGCCTCAAATTATGACAAGTGTTAACAAACATTACATGCCAATAAGCCAAGTTTGTTACTTGGTAATAAAATCACCTGCATGTAAATTTGACTTCAATAACTCAATAATTGGATATCCTTTCACGAATGAATCTAAATGGTGAGTATTTTGAGAAATGTTAAGTCTGCAGTATTGATTTTGGTGCTTAATTTATCACATTCAGACTAGAGCTGTTGGGTATATCAGAAAAGTTAAAATCCTCTTAACATTTCCAAAGTCTTTCTAAGTAACCAATGTTGCATTTTGTTCCAGAAGCAAATTTGCATTTGTAATCCATTTGTTTCTAAAAATGGCATAAGAGGTGAGCTCTACCTTTAAAAAGTAAAAAAAAAAAAAGATCTGAAGTTGGGTTGGAAATATCTTTTCTTTCCTAGGGGATCCAGAAAAATGAACATAGCATATTGTCCTACTGTAACAGGAAAAGTTGCTTATTGAGAAGTTTAATTCTTACTCTGTATATCAATAATATAGTTGATATTTATTTTGTGTGACAGATCCCTCTTATTTTTCTCATGACTTTTGATGGGGAAAGGGGGAGAAATGATGAACAGATTGCTTAAAGAGCACTGAAAATTCACAAAGCCTAAAACAGAAGTTTGGGGAGAGAATCCAGTTTCATTACAGACACTTACATTGCATAGATAATAAGCAAATATTGCACTGTATTGCTCAGAAACCATTATACTGTAGCATATGAACTACTCCATAGTCTTACAGATGTTTTATATCTGATTTTTGACGTTTTCTCAGTGAAAAATTGGAGGGAAAAATTCTGTACTATAATTAAGAACTTATTAAAATGCACAAATTGTCAAAGACTAAAGTTTATTGGGTAGGGGACATAACTACCTCTGAGTTTACTAAATCTACAATATTTCTTATTATCAATAAAGAATTAATATTCATGTAAATAATGAATGCTATTTCCTTCAATTCCATTATCTTGAAAAAATACTTATGTATGCGTAACACAGTGCACATATTAGAGAGAACTGATTACCATCAAATAAAACCTGGGAAAGACCAAATTAATGACCATTTATTAAGTCATTATGAGGAGCCCTGGTGGCCCAGTGGTTAAGCACTTACCTGCTAACCAATAAGTCAGCGATTTGAACCCACCAGCCACTCTGCAGGACAAAGATGTGGAAGTCTGCTTCTGTAAAGATTTACAGCCTTGGAATAAATGCACACATCCAAAAAGAAGAAAGGGTCAAAATCAAAATATTAACCCTACAACTCGAACAAGTAGAAAGAGACCAGCAAAAGAAGCCCTCAGGTGCCAGAAGAAATGAAATAGTAAGAATTAGAGCAGAATTAAATGAAATAGAGAATAGAAAATTGAAAGCGTTAACAAGACCAAAAGCTGGTCCTTTGAAAAGAGCAACAAAATCGATAAACCACTGGCCAAACTGACAAAAACAGGAGAGGAAGCAAATAACCCATACAAGAAATGAGATGGGTGATATCACAACAGAGCCAACTGAAATTAAAAGAATCATAACAGAATACTATGAAAAATTGTACTCTAACAAATTTGAAAACCTAGAGGAAATGGACAAATTTCTAGAAACTCACTACCTACCTAAACTAACACAGAGGTAGAATGACTAAATAAACCCATAAAAAAAGAAGAGATTGAAAAGGTAATTGAAAAACTCCCAACCAAAAAAAAGCCCTGGCCTGGATGGCATCACTGGAGAATTCTACCAAACTTTTGGAGAAAAGTTAACACCACTACTACTAAAGGTATTTCAGAGCATAGAAAATGATGGAATACTCCCAAACTCATTCTGTGAAGCTAGCACAACCCTGAAACCAAAACCAGGTAAAGATACCACAAAAAAAGAAAATTACAGACCAGTATCCCTCATGAGCACTGACACAAAAATCCTCAACAAAATTCTAGCCAATAGAATTCAGCAACATATCAAAAAAATAATTCACCATGATCAAGTGGGATTTATTCGAGGTAAGCAGGGATGGTTCGACATTAGAAAAGCAATCAATGTAATCCATCACATAAATACAACAAAGACAAGAACCACATGATCTTACCAATTGATGCAGAAAAGGCATTTGAGAAAGTCCAACACCCATTCATGTTAAAAATTCTCAGCAAAATAGGAATAGAAGGGAAATTCCTCAACATAATTAAGGTCATTTATACAAAGTCAACTGCCAACATCATCCTAAATGGAGAGAGTCTGAAAGCATTTGCCTTGAGAACAGGAACCAGACAATAATGCCCTTTATCACCACTCTTATTCGACATTGTGCTGGAGGTTCTAGCCAGAGCAATTAGGCTAGAAAAATAAATAAAGGGCACCCAAATTGGTAAGGAAGATGTCAAAGTATCTCTATTTGCAGATGATATGATTTTATACACAGAAAACCCCAAAGAATCCACAAGAAAACTACTGGAACTAATAGAAGACTTCAGCAAAGTATCAGGATACAAGATAAACATACAAAAATCAGTTGGATTCCTTTACACCAACAAAGAGAACCTCGAAGGTTCAATACCATTTACAATAGCCCCCAAGAAGATCAAATACTTAGGAATACATCTAACCGGAGACATAAAAGACCTATACAAAGAAAACTACAAGACACTACTGCAAGAAACCAGAAGAGACCTGCCTAAGTGGAAAAACATACCTTGCTCATGGATAGAAGACTCAACATTGTGAAAATGTCAATTCTACCCAAAGCAATCTATAGATACAATGCAATCCCAATACAAATTCCAATGGCATTTTTTTATGAGCTGGAGAAACAAATCACCAACTTCATATGGAAAGGGAAGAGGCCCCAAATAAGTAAAGCATTACTGAAGAAGAACAAAGTGGGAGGCCTCACACTACCTGATTTTAGAACCTATTATACCGCCACAGTACTCAAAACAGCCTGGTACTGGTACAACAACAGATACATAGACCAATGGAACAGAATTGAGAATCCAGACAGAAATTCATCCACCTATGGGCAGCTGATATTTGACAATGGCCCAAAGTCTGTTGACTGGGGAGAAGACAGTCTCTAACAAATGGTGCTGGCATAACTGGATATCCATCTGCAAAAACTGAAACGAGACCCACACCTCCCACCATGCACAAAAACTAACTCAAAATGGATCAAAGACCTAAATATCAAATCGAAAATGATAAAGATCATGGAAGAAAAAATAGGGACAACACTAGGAGCCCTAATACATGGCATAAACAGAATATGGACCATAAGTAACAATGCACAAACACCAGAAGAAAACTAGACAACTGGGAGCTCCTAAAAATCAAACACTTATGCTCATCAAAAGACTTCACCAGAAGAGTAAAAAGACAACCTACAGACTGGGAAAAAAATTTTGGCTACAACAAATCCGATCAGCGTTTAATCTCTAAAGTCTACAAGATACTGCAAAATCTCAACAACAAAAAGACAAATAAACCAATTAAAAAATGGGCAAAGAATATGAACAGGCACTTCACCAAAGAAGACATTCAGGAGGCTAACGGACACATGAAGAAATTCTCACGATCATTAGCCACTAGAGAAATGCAAATCAAAACTACAATAAGGTATCATCTCACCCCAACGAGGCTAGCATTAATCCAAAAAACACAAAATCATAAATGTTGGAGAGGTTGTGGAGAGACTGGAACACTTAGACACTGTTGTTGGGAATGTAAAATAGTACAACCACTTTGGAAATCGATTTGGTGCTTCCTTAAAAAGCTAGAAATAGCAGTACCATATGATCCAGCAATCCTGCTCCTTGGAATATGTCCTAGAGAAATAGCCATCACAGGAATAGATATATGCACACCCATGTTCATTGCAGCACTGTTGACAATAGCAAAAAGATGAAAACAACCTAGGTGCCCATCAATGGACAAATGGATAAACAAATTATGGTATATTCACACAATGGAATACTACGCAATGATAAAGAACAACAATGAATCCATGAAACATAACATGGAGAAATCGGGAAGGCATTATGCTGAGTGAATTTAGTCAGTCACAAAAGGACAAATATCATATAAGACCACTATTATAAGAACTCAAGAAAAGGTTTAAACACAGAAGAAAATATTCTTTGATGGTTACAAGGGTGGGAAGGGAGAGGGGTATTCACTAACTAGATAGTAGACAAGAATTAGGTGAAGGGAAGGACAGCACACACTACTACAGGGGAAGTCAGCACAACTGGACTAAACCAAAGCTAAGAAGTTTCCTGAATAAAACCAAACACTTTAAGGGACAGAGTAGCAGGGGTGAGGGTCTGGGGACCATGGTTTCAGGGGACATCTAGGTCAATTGGCATAACAAAGTTTATTAAGAAAATGTTCTGCATCCTACTTTGGTGAGTGGCATCTGGGGTGCTAAAAGCTAGCAAGCAGCCATCTAAGATACATCAATTGGTCCCAACCCACCTGGAGCAAAGGAGAATGAAGAACACCAAAGACACAGGAAAATATTAGCCCAAGAGACACAAAGGGCCACATAAACTAGAGGCTTCATCAGCCTTAGACTAGAAGAATTTGATGGTGCCCAGCTACCACCAGTGACCGCCCTGACTGGGAACACAACAGAGAGTCCCTGACGGAGCAGGAGAAAACTGGGGTGCAGAACTCAAATTCTAGTAAAAAGATCAGACTTAATGGTTTGACTGAGGCTGGAGGGACCCTGGAAGACATGGCCCCGGACCTTCTGTTAGCCCAAAACTAAAACCATTCCTGACGCCAACTCTTCAGACAAAGAATAATTGGACTATGCGACATAAAATGATATTCGTGAAGAGTGTGCTTCTTAGCTGAAGTAGATAATGAGATTAGAAGGGCAGCTCCTGTCTGGAGGCAAGATGAGAAGGCAGAGAGGGTCAGGAGCTGGTTGAATGGACACAGGAAATCCAGGGTGGAAAAGAGGAGTGTGTTGCCACAGTATAGGGAAAGCAACTAGGTTCACATAACAATGTATAGATTTTTTGTACGACAGACTAACTTGAATTGTAAACTTTCACTTAAAACACACACACAAAAAAGATTTACAGCCTTGGAAACCCTATAGGGCACTTCTACTCTGATCTATAGGGTCGCTATAAGTCGGAATCGACTTGACAGCAACGGGTTTGTTGGTTTGTTTGGTTGGGTTTTTTTGTTTGTTTTTTGCTGTATGAGGCAATAATGTTACAACAGCTCTTCACAACCCAGATATGCCTTTCAGAACATTTTATATGATATATTCCAAATTAACTGGTACCACAAAGCAGTGTGTTCCATGGACAAGATGCTGGATGAAAAGTGTGCTTACAGGTCAAAAAGATTTTGGAAAACTCTTGATGCAATTAATGTATTAAAAGGCTCTAACACCATAAACCTGATAGCCAAACCAGACAAAAACACCACAAGAAAAGAAAATTACAGGCCAATATCTTCTATGAATATAGATCCAAAAATCCTCAAAAAAATACTAGTGAACAGAATCCAACAGCATGTTAAGAGTCCTACACCATGACCATGTGGGATTTGTTCCAGGAATGCAGGGATGTTTCAACATTAGAAAATCAATCTACGTAATACACCACCTCAATACAACAAAGGAAAAGAACCACATGATCATCTCTGGATGCAGAAAAAGTATTTGATAAAATTCAACACCTTTTCTTGATGAAAACCCTAAAGAAGATTGGAATAGAAGGTAAATTACTCAGTATGACTCAGCATATATGAAAAATCAACAGCCAACATTATACTTAATGGAGAAAGACTAAGAGCTTTCGCCTTGAAATTGGGAACAAGACAAGGGTTCCTGCTCTCACAACTTCTATTCACCATTGTATTAGATATTAGAAGTCCTAGACAGGGCAATAAGACAAGAAAAAGAAGTAAAAGTTATCCAGGTTGGAAAAGAAGTGAAACTATATCTATTCATGGATGATATGATCCTACATATAGAAAATCCCAAAGAGTCCACAAGAAAACTTCCAGAGCTAATAGAGAAATTTAGCAATGTTGCAGGGTACAAGGTCAACAAACAAAAATCAGTTGGGTTTCTATACACCAGCAATGAGAATTCTGAAAGGGAAATTAGGGAAACAATTCCATCTACAATAGCATCTAATAAAATACCTAGTCCTCCCAACATGGAGCTTCCACCTTGTTAAAAAGTGCTTAACTCTGAAGAGATTTGGTCTTCTCACGTGCTTCTTAGAAAAAGAGACAAAAGAAAAAAGTCTATGAGAAAAGGTGAAAAAAGTATCTTTTAAATATAGAAGGATTTTTTTTTTAAGAAAAGCTTTCCAAAATTCTGTTATAATGCTGACACCATCTCTATCTTTTTGTACACAGGAATATCAGCTTCTAAAGCCCATTATTTTGTTAGAATGGTTTTTTGCCTCTTAGTAATCTATTGCGGGGACAGTATTTTTTTCAGTATGCTTTTTAAAAATTGTCCTTTCCCAATTTAATGACAAGCAACCCAATCAAAAAATGAGCAAAGGACTTGAAAAGACATTTCAACAAAGAAGATATGCAAATGGCCAAAAAGGTACATGATAAGATGCTCAGTGTCATTAGCCATTAAACCCAAACCAAACCTGTTGCCGTCGATTCCACTCATAGTGACACTATAGGACAGAGCAGAACTGCCCCATAGGGTTTCCAAGGAGCAGCTGGGTGGATTCGAACTGCCAACTTTTTGGTTAGCAGCCGAGCTCTTAACCACTGCGCCACCAGGGCTCCATTAGCCATTAGGGAAATGCAAATCAAAACTCCAGTGAAATATCACCTCACTTCCATTAGAATGGCAATGATCAAGAAAACAAAACAACAGGTGTTGGGAAGGATGTGGAGAAATCCATTGCTGGTGGGAATGTAAAATTGGACAGCCACTGTGGAAAACAGTTTGGTAGTTCCTCAAAAAATTAGACATAGAACTACCATATGTCCCAGGAATCCCAAACCTAGGTATATACTCAAAATAATTGAAAGCAGGAACACAAACAGAAACCTGTACACCAAAGTTCATAGCAGTACTTTTCACAATAGCCAAAAGGGGGAAACAACCGCAATGTCCATCAAGAGATACATGGATAAAAACCAAAGATTATTAGTGGTTACCAGGGGTGAGGGGAGGAGAAAAGGGAGAATTTTTGCTTAGGAGGCACTGAGTTTATGTTAATGGTGGTGGAATAACTTGGAGAAGGATAATGATAGTGGTTGTACAATATGAAGAATGTAATCAATGAACTTTGATTACATCAATGACATTTAATACATTGAATTGGCAATGTTTTGGTATGTAATTTTTACCACAATTTAAAAAGTGGAAAAAATTGTCCTTTCCTCTTCTAGAGGCAACTGCATAGCTGCTTTCATTCCAATTAATATTCTTTTCTGAATGCCTACTGTATACACGATGCACTATATCAGGTACTGGGGGGGAAGAAGGAGATTACAATCTGCTTGTGAAGGGAAGATACAACACAACATGTCAGGGAATATAAATGTAAACAGAGTACCTCGGTGTTGAGACAATGTAGAAAAAAAAGATAGGGTTAATTCAAGAAAGGCTACCGAATCTGGGTTTTGGAAGAGGTTACGGTTATAAAATGGATGTGAGAAAAATATTATTAAACAACTGCCATTTAATAGGTACTTGTTGTTGTGTGCCGTCGAGTCGATTCCAACTCATAGCAACCCTGTAAGACAGAGTAGAACTGCCCCATAGGGTTTCTAAAGCTGTTAATCTGTAGGGAAGCAGACCGCCACATCTTTCTCCCGTGGAGCCACTGGTGGGTTCAAACTGCTGATCTTTTTGTTAGCAGCTGAGCGCTTAATCAAGCTCCTTATAAAAGTGCTTACTACCAGCCAGACCCCATCCTAGGCTCTATACTTTTATTATCTCTAATTCCAAGGTCACGAAGCAAGTTAAGTACCAGATCGGTGATTTGATTTAGTCCTTCTCACTACACTAGAATGAAACAAAATCAAGTCCTGTGAGAGTCAGGAGCTTATGAACTTTGTTGCAGCAAAAAGGGTTTGCGAAGAGAATGGCATCCATTTCAGAGACAGCTCCAAGTCTAAAAAGGCAGAACATCTGACATTTTATCCAACAAGCAATAATTAAAGGTTTTTTTTCAATATTTAAATCAGAGAAGTGACACAAAGTTATCCATAAATTACCTATGAATGAACCCAAAATGGGGGAGATCAAAGGCAGTGAAGTTAATTTAGGAAGATAATACTCTGATCTAGAAGAAAGGTCTAATAAAGGGTGGTGGTCTCGGAAGGCGTGCACCAAAACACAAAAGTACTAAAACCTAATCCCGAGAAATAGATGAAATTTATCTAACATGACAGTAATGGATAAAATAGAAAGGGCTGAAGTTTTGAAATTAGGAATGTGAAAGGTACTATTTTGGTAAGTTATCTTTAAGCTGTTGGCAGGGTTTTTAAGTATGGAGTCATATTCTACAGAAGTACAAATGTGGGACTGAAAAAAGGATGAGAGGAAAATTGCAACTATGTTTTAATATCACGCCCTCCTAAAACCAGTCCAGTATGGTTTTATCCAAAACAGTATTACTCTAACAGTAATACATTCCAAAACACACGGGGGCTTTTCCCAACTGCTTATCACTTCACTACTCTTGTTCTATTTTCTGTTGCTTTTTATCAGTTCCACTCTGCTAGTGTCACTTTTACAGCTCATTAACATATTCAACACTTTTGGGCATCTTCTATGTGCTGGTGTTTTCAGATACTTTTAAAACATCATCTGTAAATGTCAAAAAATACTTACACATAGATAGGCAATATGGCCACTAACATAAACAACTGGTACTTTCCTAAGCTGAAGAAATATTTTGTAAATATTGTATTAAAACCCAACTCTGAACCCAAACCAGAAAGTGCCACTACAAACTTTTCACAATACAATGCCATGACAACTTGTATTATTTATAATCATGAGTCTACCGACCTACACACCAATTAGTATCTTTAAAACCCTTATTAGAAACAAAAATAAAAACCTAAACAAGATGATGCCAATAGCTAATCCTGTTCTGGCTTTGAGGTCCACGGGTTCCTGCTTTGAAGGTCCCAACACTTGGATTCCTTCAGTAAATTCTTACTAAACACCTACATACATGCGTGACAAACGAGGTTCTCAGCCTCATGGAATTCAGTCTCACAGGTGATCCAGAGGAGTAAACTGGCAATCACATCAGGGCTTTTCATGTCACCACAGGGCGGCCAGCCCTAGCTCCCTCCCTGTCCCAACTACACCCCTTCTGGACTGTTCACAATCACTTGTTGAGAAAGCACTTCAGCCAGTCTGCCAGGTGGTGGCACAAGTGAGCAAAACTGAGAGAAAACAGCATTTCCTGCCCTTAGCAAAATCATGCTCTCAAGTTGGTCTTAGTCAATGTCTTGGAGGCTCCCAACTGCAATCAAGCTGCCCAGTGATATGTATACTTCCAGAGTGGGCAGGCATGGCCATGCCAAACAAAGAAACATATTCCAATTACCCAAACAGATAATAGAATTTTTATTTTAGCAAAACTTTCATGAATCTGAAAATATTAGGTTTATAAGATCTAATAATCACTCCTGAAACATTTTTAATCAAACATTTAATAAAGCATTTGTGAATCAATAAATATGTATACTATAGACCTAAAAATTTAGACAATCAAAACATTAGTAATCCACATATACGCATGAGACTCTATCTACACTTAGATCTCAATGTTTTGTACACCGCATAAATCACTGCATACGAAGATATACTCTGTACATCATTTCATTTATACTATCAGCTCTCCTTGATAAGGATTAATTCTGTTTTAGTTCTAGTTGAAGTATCAGAAAATCCAAAATTAATAAAGCTATACTGTATTTGAAAACAGTTCTTTGGCTAAAGTACTGATGCTCTCAGCCATTTGTTTCCTACTAACATATACATTGGTAAGCCATGTTTGGGGCGGGGTGTGAAGTTGTAACAATCTACTGCTAGTAACTAGCATACAAAGTAGCTGTATAAAACTATCCTTCAGTTCCACTCCAAACTTAAAATTTTATTGTCCTCATCCTGAGGATGGACAACTGTCATACACAGCGGAAAAATACTGGACTTAAATCAAAACCCAACTTCATTTGCATAAAGCTTTGGTTAGTCACCATATTTATATACAGATCAATAAGTTAACTTACTCGGTTGAGCAATACTTTAGAATCTTATATTCTGACCTGTCATTCTTTAAGAAAAGTGATACATTTATGGGAGTTATGACCTTTCCTTCTAGTTTGAAAATGAACAATTCTTCTGTTTATCTCATTTCTAAATACCATCTTCCTGAATTCACTGGTTTCTAAAACTGGCCTTAAGCAAAGGTCTGTAAGCTAGGCAACTATCTGCGATCAGGTGACCCAGGCCCAAGAAGCTACTTCAGAGGGTCTTAGAATTGTTCTTCACATAGCGGGGGAAAACAATTCCCACCAATTCTGGAAACAAGATGTTGTAAGCGCCTGGTATGCCAGGTTGGACCTTCACCTCAACCCACCCGCCTCAGGACAAATCCACATTCTAAGTAACCTTAAAAATGTTTCATGTTGTGGATAAATGACAGCTAAAAGCCTTTACTTTTTGTGAAAATATACAAATCATACCCCCATTCAACAATTTCTCCATGTACAGTTCAGTGACAATTGCTACATTCTTCACATGCGTAACCATTCTTGCTATCTCTACCCATATTATTTCACCACCACTGACTTACTCACTGCCCCATAAACTTATCTATGCTTTAGTTACTGATATCAATATCTGATACAATTCTTCAGAAGAGTGCAATGCTCAAGGTGAACATTCTCTACATATTCAGCTACACTGCTGTTTAGCTTGAGATGACTTCAGCGGGAGTTATGGTTCAAGATTCAAGAATTTCCTCAGGCCAAGATGCAGGGGTTCCTCTAGTCTCAGTGGATCTATAAGAAATTTGATTCTATGACAGTTTGAATTCTATAACTAGAAACTCTGTTCCACATTCTTCCCCTTTTGATCAAGGACTCATCTCTTGTGTCCTTGATCAAAAAGTTCAGTAATGTTTGCTGGGCACCATCCAGTTCTGGTCTCATGGCAAAGGAGGCAGTAGTTCATGGAGGCAACTGGACCTACAGTCCAGTTCCTTTTCTGGTTCCTGTCTTCTTCCTCTGCTCTGCTAGGCAAAGACAGACCAATTGTTGTTGTACCTTGGATGGCAGCTTGCAAGCTTTTAAGACCCCAGACACTAGTCACAGAACTGGGTGGTAGATCAGAAACTCTAAATTAAAGCCAATTGGCTAGATAATCCCACGAAGTCATGACCCTAAGCCTTGGAACCAAGAAACCTAATTCCATGAGGTGTTTGGTTGTACCCAAGTAGTATCAGCAACTGCATCTTTCCCCCACCCCCACCCCCGAGGCAGCGAGTTTGCTGTTGTTATAAAATACAACATTTGCTATTCTGTCCTTTTTCTAGTGTAAAACTTAATGGTATCAGTTACTTCAGCCAAGTTTTGTAACCATTACCCTCAATCAATGCTAATTTTCCCATCACCATAGACATAAATTACCTGCTAGAGAACTGATTCCCTCTCTCCCTCTCCCCTCCCACCATAGATAAGCACCAGTGAGACCACACAGTATTTGTCCTTTTGTGATTGAGTTATTTCATTCAGCGTAATGTCTTCAAGGTTCATCCATGTTGTAGCATGCCTCAGGACTTTTTTTAACGGCTGAATAGTATTCCACTGTATGTATGCACCACATTTTGTTTATCCATTCATTTGCTGCCGAGCACTTAGACTGTTTCCATCTTTTTGCTACTGTGAATAGTGATACTGTGAACATAGATGTACAAAGGCTTCTTAACTGACATTACTCCCTTAATTACCATCTATATCCTTTCCTATGTGAAAGGAATTGGACAGTAAGAAGTACATTTTTAGCACCAAATACTACTACAATTTTTTATTGGTAAGAATATTTTAAGAGGCTCTGAGACAGCAGAGAAACCAAGGACTAGGGGGCTTAAGAGTATCTAAAATTTAAATATTAAATCTTGCACACAAACGCTATCTCCTTACATAAAAGACACTAAATAAATTACATCTAAAATGTCCTACTTATAGGGGGGAAAAAAAACAGGTATTTCTCATTTAAGATAAAATAGAAATGATTTAAAACACGAGGGGGAAAGGTAAAGTATGAGCTATAAATCCAATTTAAATTATATTAAAACTCCAAAATAAACAGATGTGAAATTTTCCTAAAAGAAGGTGAATATTCACTACCCTTCCCCCAAAGTAGGAAAATTACACTAAAGAAATTGATATGGACTGAGATACTTTCTCACTTTATGTATTTAAAAAAATAAAAATAAATTTCATTTTGGCAAAATAACTGTCTGAATTTTTAGGTTTATATAGATAGAAATATATAATTTTACTTTTATAGACAGGTCAACTAGAGGAAATAAGTTAACACAATCATTTGAATTGGTTGTCTACATACTGGGCAGGGCTTATTTCTTTTTTTTAGCTTCTTTGCACATGTAAAGCATGCCATAAGATGTCCTGTTTTGCCGTGGACGATGCAACCATTTTTAGGTCGATCTTGGCAAATCACACAAGGTTCAGTTGCAATAGGGCGATATCTAGATTCCACACTTTCTTCTTTGCCTTGTGTTTCTTCCCTCTCAAACTCTCTGACATCTTGGCTGCTATAAATGATGCTACTGGAAGTTGATGGCTGAGAATAGTCCTCACTTTCTTGAGAATGGGAAGCTTGTGTTATTTTATCATCATTTTCCTCAACACATGACTCTTTGGAGTCATTCACTGTCGTTTTTTTACAATCAGGAACATCAAAGCCCTCTTCTACCTGCACTGTGTTTTCTAGTTTAGCACTCTCATGCGTCTTCTCTTTATCTTTCCTCTTATCTTCAGGAAGCCAATTCTCACGAAGTGCCCAACATCTGTTACAATGCGGTGGAAGAGGAGGGTTCATTTCATTGCATGAAGTGCACTTCCAATAGTCCTTCAATGAAATAAGAGAGTTAATTTCTATAATCCTCTAATAACTAGTCATAGCAACGTTAACACCTTTGGTATGTCTAAGGTAAGTATCACACAGCACAGTTTTCAGCCTTTATGCTTTATATAAAACATTCAGTGTGCAACCGTCTCTCCTCAAGTCTGAGATTTTAAGTACTTTTTTTTTCTGGCCATACCATGCTGGAGAACCCTAAAACTAAACATGTATTCACTGTAACCTTAACCACAACAACTGAGAAGTTATCTGTTCAGGGACACAGATAATGCAGTTGTTTGTTTAGACGAAGCACGTGCTAGGGGATCTTTAACTCTGTAACAGGGCCTCTCTTAGAGGCTGAACTCTGGATTCTGTACCTAGAGTCCACCAATCTAGAGGACGCTTGCCTCCTAGAGAAAGACCAAAACCTCCCAGTCCCCCACAGACTAGGATTGCCTAAATTGTGCTCGAAAGCCAGGGCTCAAATGGGTGTTCCCTAACTCCATCCACAAGGGAAATGCTAAAACATTCATCTTTGCCAGCTAAAACCTGTTATCCTTGGCCACTATCCAGTATGTTTTTCTCTCGTCTATCCTTTTCTGTGTTCTCATCTCTGAAACTACTCCCTGCTTCTTCCTTATCCCAACTTCTCTCTCAAACCTTTCAACCATGAAATCTGGATAACAAAGTCCCCATATCACCAGCCTCTTTACTGAGCATATCCTCATCTCCCTGCCTTAAATGAAGCATGGTTCTTGCCTGAGGATACTGCACGTGTAAAGTCTGCCATACGATTCCTTCTCAACAAATAAGCCAGTAGCAATAAGGGTGGAGACTTCGTTCTCCAACACTGGTTCTTCAAAGTTATAAAAGTAGGTTTCTACTAGCTGATAAAACCAAAGACAACCGTTTTGCAATATAAGAAAAGAACGTGCTTCAAAGAGCCTATATTGCAAGATCTAGCTCTGAAACATTTCACTTGACTTGACCTCAAATGAACCAGCTAGTTACTTGAGTTGTTATTTTCTAATACAGCAAAAATTTGAGATTTGCAATTTCATCTTTTTTTTCATTTGGATAATTAATATTTGTTTCCAACTCAGAAAAAATATAGGACCTATTTCCTATTCAAATATAATAAAAGGCAAGAACAAAAGTAATAATTCTTAGCTAAAAAAAAATACAAAAAAAACCAAGCACTTCTAATACCTCAGGAACCCATTGAAACATGAGATGTAAACATTTAAATCCTAATTTCTTTAATGGCAAATCCTACCACATTCTCTAATACAAGTCAATACTAAAAAATATTTACATTCAATAAGGCTGACAAAATGTTGGTAATTGTTAAAGCTCTATCATCAGTACACTGGAGATACAGTATAGTATGCTATACATACTCGACATTTTCTATAATAAAGTTCTTTAAAAGCTCAAATTCCAGGACATAAAACTAAAAAATACAGCAACAGATTCTAACACAACAAATAAAGAACAATAATGCCATAAGTCTAATATTTTAACTTCATAAAAATTCCCTCATTTCAGCTCAGACTAGACATTATTTTTCTAATCTTGACCTCAGTGTCATTTTTTGATTCCTTAAAAAAGTAGATGTATACTTACAGCTAAGGAAATTTCAGGATCATCTTCAAATGAATCTGTATCACTCTCCTCTGCCTGATAGACAGTAACTCGATACACCTAATAAGACAAAATTCATTCGCATCAATTCATCATCATTTTTCTTCAACCAGAAAGGCTTCTTAGTGGTAAGCCCTCAACAAATAATGTCTACTACTATATATAAGAAATTCTGAGACAAGGGTCAAAATGGAGTAAGTGTAAAAACAGAAAAATGGAGGAGAGTGAAATCCTCACCCACCATGGTAAAAAGTCAATAGACGGAACGTTTAAAATGAATAAAGCAAAAAATTCAGTACAAGCATTTTTATTTTATAAATATGGAAGTATTACATGACAGTGGAAACAGTGAGAAATGTTGAAGGTAGTCAGTCACCTCCAGAAAACAGATTTAGGGTACTATTTGACTTTAACTGTGTGCAAGTTTTACTTCCATAAAAAGCAAATTAATTTTAAAAGGGGTGAATTGAAGTAAGTATTTTAAAAACCGAATAGGCCATTATAAGAATGCTCATCAAGGCCTACTGACTTTTTGGCATTAGTTATAAGAAACTAAATCAGACAATAAGGAACTGGAAATACTCAGGTACACAACCAACACTTTAGTTTGAACAAATTAAATGACAAGGATTTCAAGTAAAACCTGAATATATTAGTATTTCCATTTTATCAAAGTTAATGAACACAGAAGGTATTTAACAACTTTCTAATATAATTAGATGAAAAAAATCTACCTCATCATCTTCATCTGAGAGCTCTTGTCCTTCCTCACTAAGGTTATAATCTTCTGAATCAAGAGATTCAACTTCAAATTCTACACTGAATTGATCTGAAACTGAATCCTGGTCCAACCAATCACCAGAATGTTCACTTACACCAGCATCAAGATCCTAAAAAAAGAAAAAAAAGTGACTTAATAGGCACCACCTCTTGACCTCTGTAACAGGTTCCTAACTCATCCTTGTGCCTCTATTTCCTCCTCAAATCCAACCCATACTAGATTAAGATTCTGGGTTATTACTATTTCTCCATTCAAATCCCACTACATAAAGGAAAAAGGCCAAAGCCCCTTGGCATTAAAGGTACATACCAAAAAAAGAAACAAGAAACATTGCCATCGAGTTGATTCCAACTCATAGCAACCCTATATAACAGAGCTGAACTACCCCACAGTTTCCAAGGAATACTTGGTGGATGTGAATAGCCAACCTTTTCATTAGCAGCCGTAGCACTTAACCACTATGCCACCAGGGTTTCCAAAGTACGTAGAGTATGACTATATTAACATTCTCATGTTACCTCCAACTAGACACAAGCCCTCTTCTAAGTATGGACTATTCAGCTAGATCTAAATGGTTTTTCCTAAACCAATCTTGAGACTTTAACCTTCACACTTCCCTCTCTAACTAGAATAACTTGACAGTTTCCAAATCCTACTCATCCTTTTTGGTAAAGCCTCTGTCAATACCGTAACTGAAAGAGTTCGACCTCTTTTAATTATCTTTACTACTTACATAATGATTATATATTCTTACACATAAATTGTACAAAATATGATTTTGCATGCATGCTTCCTATTGGAATTGTAAACACTGTGAGTGCTAACACCATGTCCTAATCATCTTTATTTCATTCATACAGATTGGTAGAATGCTAGCTACAAGATACACAATAATTACGGGATTTATTTTTTTAAGTGAACTTTGAGAATAATTTTTGAAGAGCTTTTAGACTTAATTTTTTAAATTTTATTTTTAAAATTCTGTATCTGCTCATCTGATTCCTTATCTTAGGGCCCTCGTTAATAGTATAAGAACTTAGTAAGACCTTCGGTCCCCTAATCTTCGCTGTCAGTGGCTAAGGTTAGGGTCATATTCAAAGCAGAGGAGCCTAAAACAGCTAGAACTGGAGAGAGTACATTGGTCTAGAAGTCAGGATATAGACAATCTTATTCTAGATTTGCTAGCAAGTAGCTATTTAAACTTAGACATACCATTTAACCTCTAAAGACAACAGCTATTTCTTCTATAAAAGGAGTTTGGGTTAAATGATCTGTAATATCTCAATCATCTATAAATATCAAATAAAGTATATTATTTTACAACCACTGAGGGCCCTTGACACTCAGAAGGTTGATTTTTAGAGTATGTCAAGAAAGTAATACTAAAAGCGCCATTCATCAGGTTGCAGCTCCGATTTCCAGTGAGGGCTCTAATTAACCATTAGGTTAAAATCACAAGTCAAGCTGGAACAATAACATCTCTAATAAGATAACCTAACTAACTAGATACTTGAATTAACTAAAGTCTTTAGTGTACTGGAGCGCTGATGGCAAGGGCCAGCAAACTGGCCTAGCAGCAGTCTACTTCTGCAAATAAAATTTTATTCAAACACAGCCATGCCCAACATGTTATCTACAGTTTATGGCTACTTTCATGTTACAACAGTGAAGTTTAGTTGCTGCAACAGAGACCACGAAGTCCAAAATATTTACCATCTGGCCCTTTACAGAAAGGTTCGAGGGTACAATGAAGGAAGGTTCTAAGGTACCATGAAGAAAGCAATATTAAGAGTTGTTTTTAAAAGTTTTGACTGATGTTCAAAAAAGAATGACCTAGAAAAACTTTTAAATAGTGCATGTTTAAAAACCATCAAACATGTTTGATTTGGAAAAATAGACTTTGTAAAGAAATCCTTGGTTTTTATCGGAATTCCATTTGTGACTATTAACTAGTTGTGGCAACCTTAGATAAGTTACTAAAAATTCCCAAGTCTTAGTTGTCCAATGTGTAAAATAGAGTTTGAGGCTGCTGAGATAATAAAGTAAGACATCATGATGTACAGTGCCTAGCATAGAGCTTAGAATATAGCCTTAGTTTCTAAATTTATTAAACCTAAGAGAAAAGACTGGAGGAAAATACACTTTCCTTTAACTCTACTAAAACACCAAGAGGATGTTCTCCCTTCACAGTCAGTGGATGATGATACCAAATGATAACTTTAATATTCTCATGAGGTAAACTAAAATGGGGGGGAAAACTGGCCCTGCCAAAGGCTTTCACAACCAAGAACTTAGCCTTAAAAACAACAGAATTTTAATGGACATCATTTTTATTAGAGTGTAGAATAAGACTAACAAAAGGCGAAAAAAAAAAAAAAAAAAAAAAAAAAAAAAGAGATCCCTTCCACGTTGGTTTGATAAGGCACTGTCCCAGTTACAAAGCAAGAAAAAAGTCTCTAAATAACATTTAGCTAGAATTCTGATACAACTTTATCAAAGACTGTAAGCTAAATGGGGCAGAGTAGTTCTATTTTTTAAATCATTTACAAGGAATAAAACTAACCAAACTTGAAATGTGTGGACATGTCAAGTCTTCCTTAACTGGATTCAATTTTCAGGATCACATACACTAGTAAGCTCTGTGTTTTGCTGACGTAGTACAGTCTAGTCTGAAAAAGAATATTTTATCTTTTCATGTGCCCAGCTTCTGGTCAGAAGCCTAAGGTTGGGCAGATGAAACAATGAGCACTAATAGTCCGGATAACGGACAAATGTCATCTAGTTACCCAACAAAGTTTTTTCCCCACCTAAAGGCTTTTGCACATGCTACCTGTTCCCTCAACCTAACACCTCCCCCCCACTCCTTGATGATCCTCCTTTTCATCCTTCAAACATTTCTCTCTCAATTTACAAGCTGTCTCCTCAGAAAAGCCTTCCATGGCCACCTTATCTGAAGTTAGTCACTCTACCACCTGTACCTTCACTCCCCAACCCCACTGTTATTCACTCTGGATAACCCGATTTTTTTCATATCATTTACTAAATATTTTAATTATGTTTACTTGTTTATAGTCTCTCTCCCCATGAGGGTAGAGATCATGTCTCCTTTGATCATCACTGCACTTTGAGTGCCAAATATGGCATCAGGCATAGAAAAGGCACTTAAATATTTACTGAAGAACCTGGTCTCAGGCTGAGTAGTTCACTATGCCATCAAGTGGCCTCCACAGGTAACAGTTCTGTCAAATGTAACTCTAGAGGGTACGTCTGCATCCCTTCAATCACAGACAATGCGGAAGTAACAAGAATGCGTATAGTAAGAATGCAGCCACTATCACAATTGGTTCGTATCCTCTATCTTCTAGAACTATAAAACGATCACTAATATCCAGAATAATGACCACAAGACACTTCCTTACCACAAAGAAAGATTCCAATTTTAACATTTTTAAAGACAAATGTTTAATGGTAAGGAAGAAAACATTCTACTTGTCAGGCATTCTTGTTAGCAAAAATTCCTTTACCAAACTTCTTTCAATGCTATCTATTAGAAATGTTACTACTAATAGTTTGGAATTTTGTATTAGTAATCAGAAAGTATTAATACTCTCCCATCATCCAGGCAATAGCGGCACCAGTATTTCAGTCTTAGTAAACAGACCTTCCCTGATGTCTAGCCCTATGTATGCAAATGTTAAACTCAGACTATGCTGACTTATTTGCTGATGGCTGTAATAAAAAAGACATTTTTAGTATAAAAATTTAAGACATATTTGCTTTAGAATCCAAAGATGTCTAATTAAACCAAATTGTTATTTTTGTTCTCTTAATTTTTAAGAACTTCCAAATTCTGATAATTCTACACTCCGATTTATTTTAATCTGCTGTTGGTGCAGTGACCCACAAAGGTTCTCCAATATACAAGGTGACATTAATAACTTAATATTGGTACTAATTTTACCAAAACACCCCAGTGCAACTCAGCCACCTTCCACCATCCTCCCCAAATGTGGAAGGGGCAGGCGGCCCTATATAGCAGCAGTCTCATATCATACATGTGTGTTCTAGCTGCACACTTATTAAGATTACCAGATTTTTAAAAAAAAGAGAGTGAGCCTTGTTTTATTTAAAATGAGACGTTACCGGATTTGATGGGGTTTCTGTTGAGTCACTGCTACTGCTTCTTTCACAACATATCTCCCTTATTACACACAGCGCAACGCTTTCATCAAAGGAAAGGGAAACACTATCGGATCTGTGGCGCTTTCTTTGTCCTTCACTGGCTAATTCATCTGAATTTTCTTCTGCAGAAGGAAAAAAATTAATCAATTTGCTGTACTCTATTTAGAAATTTGAGCTGTCTTGCATACCTAACTATTTGTACTGAAATTCCAATAAAATTAAAGAGAAAAATAGTGACTTACTACTAATATTCCAAAAGTTAATACTTTTATTGGATTTGTCCAACTGAGAGTTACAGCAGAGCACTGTAAAAAGCATTTTAAATCTTTCAGAACTTTATCTCTATAAAATCATAATAACTAGATCTATCTGGAGTTTTTAACCAATTTACAATTTTTCTCTCAAGACCAAACTTCAGGATATAAGATTTCAACTTTTATTTTTCTGAAAAGAATAAAAATGTTTAATTTATTTAGAAAATATTCTAAATGTTTCAATTTCTTCAGTACCTTGTTATTTTCAACAGGAATCAAAACCAGCGAAAGTTGTCCATTTTAAATAATTATATGTGACTTTAAAAGTTAGAATGTTAATCATTGTCATTGAATTGTATCTGTAAAAATTGTTGAATTGGCAAATATTTTTTTTTTTTACCATAATTAAAAAGTAAAAAGGCAAAAGGATTGCGGGGAAAAAAGTCAGCACATTACCCAAATCTGTCAGGAACATAATTTAGAGCCCTACCTTATACCAGACATAAAAAGAAATTCCAAGTGGACTAAACATAGAGAACAAAAGAACACAAAGAACAAAACCATTCAAGTACCCTGTAATATTCTTACAATTTTGGAGGGGAAGAAGTGAAGTATGACATAACACCACAAAGCCTTCAAGAGACTATCAAGATTAGACTACGTTAAGATTTACGTGGCAAAACATCATGACTAGACAAATGTCAGACTAGAAGAAACTATTTGCAACATATATAATAGCAAATGGTGAATATCTATATTATTCGAAGTCCTCCTATACAAATCAAGAGAAAGACAAACTTGATTTCTAAAATAAGGTCAAAGATAAGCAAAAGCAATACGTAAAAGAAAAATAAACTACTAACAAACATATAAAAAAATACCCAACCTCCTAATGATCAAGGAAATGCAAACAGAAATGAGACAGCATTTTTCACCCATGAGAGTAACAAAAATTACAATTGAGATTATCATCCAGTATTTGTGAGAACTTGAGAGAAAGGACAATTTTATATACTGTTGGTAGAAGTGAATAGTTCAAAATTTTAAGGGTAACTTCTCTACCCTAGAGAAATACCTGCATAATTAAGGGTTTAGGTACAAGGATGTTCACTGCAGCCTTATACGTATCTAATAGGGTTATGAGAATAAATGAAATATAATCCATATGCCTGAGACAGGTACAACTCTCATACCTTTGCTCACTCTATTTCCCTCTTCACCTAGTCAGAAGTCATCTTTTTCCTCTGAATTCCCAGAACACTCTTATATCCTATACTGTATTTTTGTGTTCATCTCTGCAACTAGATCCCAAGTTCTGGATGTATGTTCTTAAGCACTCCCTATTAGAAAAGGGGATCTTGGTTAAATGATATGCGCTGGAAGTCTAAATCATGCTACTGGTAATTTGGTAGTCAAGGTAAAAAAAATAATGAATGTGGGGCTTTCTTTCCTGATTATTAAAGTGATGTATTACTCACTATAAAAATCTAAATAAAACAGAAAAAAAAAGAACAAAATGTAAATCCCCTGTAATGCTACCATTGAGATAACCACTATTAACATTTTACAGCAATAACTTCCCAATGTTAATTTCTTGAACTACTTACTTTCCTTTAAAAAAAAACTTTTTGAATCATACTGTATGTACAGCTAACAAGCCCTCGTGGCACAATGGTTAATCTAACTGCTAACTGAAAGGTTGGTAGTTCGAACCCACTCAGTGGCTCCAATGGACAAAGACCTGGCGATCTGCTCCGGTAAAGATTACAGCCTAGAAACCCTATGGACAGTTCTACTACTCTATCACATGGGGTCGTTATGAGTCAAAATTGACTCAACAGCACTTGATAACAATGTATGTACAACTAGGTCCCTGGGTGGCACGAACAGTTTTGTGCTCGACTACAAACCTAAAGATTGGTGGTTCAAGCCCACCCAGTGGTGTTGCAGAAGAAATGCCTGTCAATCCGTTTCTGTACAGATTACAGCCAAGGAAACTCTATGGAGCAGTCCTACTCTGTAACACACAGGGTCGTCACGAATCGGAATCAACTTGATAGTAACAGGGGTGTTTTTGATTTTTGTATGTACAACTGTTGCGTTGTTTTTCTCACATAACATCATGAGTCTTTTCCATGCCATTAAATATTCTTTTACGTTGTTTTTAATGGCTGCAGAATATATAGTGTCCATCATATAGGTTTATATACTGATTAGCACAACTGAACTATTTAATCCACACATTTGAGTACCTGCTCCGTTCTGACACAGTGCAAGGCAATGCATATAGAACACTGACGAGAAGTCAGCCATCCCCGCCTCCCTGTCTTGCAAGGGAATTTATCTTCAAACATCAAGGCAACAGAAATAATTATTCACAAGCTGAAATGAATGCTACGAAGGAAACAGAGCACAAAGGAAAAGAAAAACAAGAGGGATCTACTTTTCTGGGTGGCTAGGAACAGCCTCTCTGAGAAGGTCAAACTTAAGCAAAAACAGAAAAGTGAGAACTGGCCTTGAAAAGTGGAGGCAGAAAAGCTCCAGGCAGGGAAAAACTGTGTGCAAAGGCCTTCAAGTAGTAAAAAGTTTGACTTGTCAGAGGAACCAAAAATCAGTGAGGCTGAAACAATTTAAAGGAAGGGAAAAAGCCAAGAAACCAGGTTAAAGATAGATCAGGGCTTTGTGGGTCAAGGTAAGAAGTGTGGATTGTATTTGAAACCTAATGGAAAGTCACTAAAATAGCTAAATGGGGGAGTGACACAATCCAATTTATCTTCTACGATCTCTTCTGGTACTGTGTGAAGAAAAAGAAAGATCAAGAGTAGAAACAAAGAGAAAACTGGAAGGCTGACACAGTGGTCAGGGCAAAAGATGACAATGGCCTAGACTAGAGGGATGGATGGCATTCTCTACTGTTATATGTGGCATGTTCTCAATTACAAATGATGCCATAACAAATATTCCTACAAATAAATCTTTGAATTTCTCATTATGCAGGTAGGATTCCTACAAGTGGAGACACTGGGTTACTGGCAAGAACTATAAGCCTTTTTTCTAATTCATAAAAGTTTAACCAATTTATACACCAATAGTGTTATCAGTGAGGAGTCCTGGTGGTGCAATGGTTAAGCACTTGGCTGCTAACTGAAAGGTCAGTGGTTTGAACCCATCAGCCGCTCTGTGGAAGAAAAGACCTGGTGATCTGCTCCCATAAAGATTACAGACTAGGAAACTCTATGGGGCAGTTCTACTCGGTCCTAGAGGGTCACTATGAGTCAGAATGGACTCGATGACACACAATAACAGTATATCGGTGCCACATAAGTTAGGAAAAATGAGTCAAAAATTTATCTTTGCTAACTTGATACACCAAGACACTTTTGCATTCTTCAGTATCTATAAAGCTAAAATCCACACCTCTTCCCCCATATTTACAAGCCATTTCTATTTACTGTGAGAACTTTTTTTGCTCTGTTTATTTGGATCTTTAATGTTTTTCTTACTGATCTTCAAATTTAAAGGGAATATCTTTTAAATATGTTGTAATTTTTTCATTTATCTTTGAAACTCATTTAGAATTCATTTGGGACAAGGTGCAGGTATAACTTGATCCTCCCCCCCACCCCAAATAACTAACCATTTGTTCCAGTCTGCCTTTATTGCTCTCTGCCCTTATCTATAAGATTCTATTCTAGGTTTATCTATTTTGCTGATCTGTTGAACTTTTCTTCTACCTGAATCATAGTCTTAGTTATTATTACAACTTTTGATCAGGCAACAGCCTCCTGTCACCTTTCTTTTCTTTGTAAAAATGTTTTCAACTACTTTCTTTACCATTTCTTCATTTCTAAGATGTTATTTATTTTCTCTGTTTAAACTCATTGGTATGTTTTATCATTTAACAGAAACAACAATTCAAATTTTTAACTGCTAAGGCGTGTAAGAATAGTGGCTAAAGTAGACTTTATATCCTTGTCCCCATTATACTGAAGGAATAATTGAGAGCTGATATTATAAACTTCACTAGGGCACAGTGAACTGTGCCTGCTGTAGTCAGCCAGAAAAAAAATGTTGCTAAAAGAGCAATTTGAAACCAAATAAAGCCATATAAAAACAAGAAAGAGAAAAATCAGAAATGTGTTCATCTAAACCAAAAAAGCAGAACAATTTCATTAAACCTAAAAGTGCTAACAGCTTCATCAGAAGAGACCACAAGGCTGTCTGAATGTGCCAATTCAATATTCACACATACCTGTCTCACTGATTGCTCTCCTTCTAGATGAGGTAGTTGGTCTAGAAATCAAATTTGAAGATGAAGGTTTCTCTTCCTGTAACTCTTGCACAGAGTCCTAAGCATTCAAGGGGGGGAAAAAAAAGACCATAGAAGAACTAAACCTATACCACCAAGAAGCTAAAAATTCTGTTTTAAGTAAACCTTTCCTACTTTTAAGAAATATACTAGAATGAGAAGTTTAAAGATTACCTTTTGATCATTTCCATCTTCAAGCTGACAACTATTTTCACTCACAGATGTGCCAGAATTCAATGGCTCTGATAAAAAAGAAAACCACAGAATAACAAACTAAGAAAGAAAGAGCTAGTTAATAGACACCAGCCCAGGACAAACCTCTTACATAATTTAACCTTCCAACAAACATTAAATGTGTCCCCTGGGTGCCGGTCCCCATGCTAGATACAGAGATGTAAATGAGTAATTCAATTTTAATAGAGAAGAAAAATACATAAAAGATTAACTATAAAAGTGTAGTAAACACATTAAAAGAAGTATTATAAAATAGACTAGTGGAGAAGAGAGAGCAATGATTATTTGGTATAGAGAAGGCAGAGTATGAGTAGTAAGAAATCAGGAAAAGTTTCACAGGAAATGCATGGAAGGCAGGGCTGGGAAAGACCATTACAGATTGAGGAAACCCAGGTGAAAAAGCATTCAGAATGGAACTAACAGTGGCCTGTTGCAGGAACTAGAAGTTGCTCATTATTACTGGAATATAAGCAGAGTCAGATCATAAACGATCCTGTGTGTCCTGCTAAACAGCCCAAGACTGTCAACAAGCAGTGTTCATGATGTCATTCATGCTGTTACTTCCACATCATTGTGTTCTTCCCTGCTGATACTACAGAATCCTCCCTAATACAGTGTTGCACCCACCCACCATACAAAAGGTTTAGTCTAAGAGATAAAATTTATTTGCTAGCTCATAGCAAACACTTTATCTAAAGAGCGATAAGGAACCCCTAAACAGTAATTTTAAGAAGTGACAAATAACCCTCATGAAATAGACTGCAGAGACAGGGAAACCAGTATTAGACAGTAACTGCAATAAAACAAATGAAGAAGTATTAAAGCCTAAGTAAGGAATAGAAAAAAAGATCAATTCCAGAAAAATTAGAATGACAAAAATCAGTAAGACCTGGTATGTAATACACAAGGCAAGGGAGAAAGGAGTCAAGGAGTCCAAGATTCTACTTTGAATGAATAAACGGGTGGTACCATTCACCAGGAGAGAAACTTCAGGAAGGTGAACAGATCTGGATGGAAAGGTAATGAACTAAGGTAGCTGAGAATCATTCAGTCAAGACAGATTTAGTCTGTAGTTGGATGTATGAACCTAGCTCAAAAGTCAGAGTTTTAAATATAAAACATATGCAATTATCCGAGAGCATAATCAAATGTGGCAGCAACCCTTTAGGATATAAGGTAGTAATACTTCTTTAATAATAAACTGATCTCCTGTTTTCTTCTACATATACAACAATGGTTCTCAAAGGGCAGTGCTACCTACCCCCTTGGGAGCATTTTCACCTTAACAGTGAACTCATGTCTGAACATTAACATTTTGAAATATACACTATCATAAATCAGTTTATTTTTTCTTTATATTATGGTTAAGGCATTATATTGATTTTCTTAAGCTGAATATATATATTATCCAAAAATCCCATTTTAGTATAATAAAGATGTTACAAAATACATGTAATAAAAAGGAAACACTAGGATGTGACAAGGTTGAGAACACCGATACAGGAATTTTGAAATTAATTCTCCTAACCTGAAACAGAAAACAAACTGAATAAAAGTAACATAAGTAATCTACAGGTTACCATCTCATTAATGTAATTTTCCTAGCAAACAACAAAGGTTTATTTAAATGAATGAATGAATTTCTGATACATACATTAGAAAACTCAATATAGTACTACAGATACTACAGCTATATATATTAGAAAACTCTACAGTACTACAGATACTACAGCTATGTATTTCATTTGCCATTATTTGATTTCCTATATAAAGAGCATTAAAGCAATAAAATGTTAAGTAACCAGCCCAATAATTACTTTTATTCTGGAATAAGATGGTGATCCCCTTTCCTGAGTCTTAAATCTTAACTTTGGAAGAGTTAAGTAGTCAATTCAATTTACTAAATACCATATCAGTAAGACATTACACTGTGTAATGCAGAATGCACAACGAGAATAGGACAAAGGAAATATAAACAAGTGTAAAAAAGAATTTATAACAATGAAGTCTGAATATGGAATACTGGGGGCACAAGAGAGTGGTCAATTAATTTATTCGTGCAACTAAATAAGCCTCCGAGAGCACTTCTTAATTTTACTTGAGCAAGGGCTTCAAGAAGCCTATGGTGTGGTGGAGCCAGTTCCTATCGGCACTCATAAAGATCGTGCACATCTCTTCAGAACTCCATGTTCATAGCCTGAAATTGGCCATGGTGGAAGTATTTACACCATGAAAATCAACAACTGCTACAAACCAGGACCTTTCCCCCAGAGAGCTATTAAACATTTACCAGCATTTCACTGTAGGGGTGTGTTTGTGTGTTTGTATAATAATAAAAGAGGAAGATAAATTTAACAGGAAGAAATACATATGAACTAAAACAACATACATATGCATCTTTCTGGGAAGAGAACCCAGGATATGTGAGCCAAAAATAACCAGTTCAGTACTGTAAGTCTAAAGGTAGGTGAGCAAAATGCCACTTACTTATATAAATTGGTAAACAACATTCTGTCTACTAACAAAAAATACAAAAGACCCATCCTTTTAAACAGTCTTACCTGGGTATCTATACTTCTCAAAGCTTTTTAATATATTTTCAAGGTTTGATCACATCTCTACTAAGCAGGAGCTTTTCAAATTATTTATCTTCTTAAATGTATCCCATTAAATTAATATAACAGGATATTTAAATATCATAAAAGTCCACAGAACCTTAGTATGCTGTTTTAGTTCATATGTATTTCTTCCTGTTAAATTTATCATCCTTTTATTATTAACTATATAGCCAAAGCAACATTTTAAAAAAAACACAATTATAAAATCAATTACGTACAAAAATTTTCTTTGAAATGTGTTTATGATATTCAAAATTACTTACCCTGCTGATTGACTACTACCAAGTTTCTGTAGATCATCGTATATATTTTCCTTGTTGGGTGAAAAAATCAAGAAATGTATATTTTAAAATAAAAAATTTATTAAACTGGATTTAACTAGACTTTTAAATGCATGTTAGTATGAACTATTGCACACATTCAAAACCAAGATTTAAATTATTGCATTCAAATTGTATCACTGGCAAGATCCTAGGCCCTACAAAGCATCAAAGTAATTAGTAGCACAATAATTACACAGTTACTTTTAATGCAATCACTAAGGTCTCTCTAGCACAAAGATTTCACATCTCCACTTCCTGAAATGTGCTTCATTTTGGACTTTACCAAAAATATCTGGGAGTGGGTGTGCACACAGGAGGCAAATCAGTATGCTTACTTTCAAACAAATTTTCTAACGCTGTACTTAAAAGCAGACTGTCTAAAAAAGTAGTGGGTCATGCAAAACCCTCTATTATAGGAATTTCATTATAATCTTGACTTTTATCAACCTTGGACCAATCATCTAATGGTTTTTTTTCCCCCCACTGGCCTTATATTTTAAAAAAAAGCAGTACTGATTCAATAAAATACAGACTAAGCACCCACTATGATGCAGGCACTGATCTGGATATTGGGGAAAATATAATGAAGCAGAAAAAAATCTCTGCCTCATTGAGCTTATGTCCTAGTATTCTAGTATTCATTTATGTCTCGTATGTTTTTCTTTTTAAACTAATGATTTCTAGAGACTGTTGGTCACAGATATCATTTCTAATTCTCGTTAATTTTCAAGGGTGAGAGGAAAACTGCCAACTCCAACTATCTCCCTTTACCCACCCTTAAGTTCCTTAAGATGATAGAGTTCCTTAAGTTCAGAAAACAATATTCTTCTTCATATCCCTTTTCAAGTCGGTAATTTCCCCACTATTCAATCCCTCAACATATTAGAATTCAAGTCAAAGACAGTTTTCAGATTATGCTTTCAATATCAGAAACATTCAACATTATCATTAAGATTTAATATTCAAATGGCACAAAATCACCTATGTAATTATTTCTTCAATTTATAAAATTAAAGCTTACATGAAAAACATCTCAAGGCCAAGTAGAAAATGATAACAGAATATAAAATTAAATATAGTATGTTCACAATTAGGTTGAAACACACCATCATATAAAAATGACTGATAGAAACACCTTTTGGTGACAAACTATAGATTTTTTTTCCCCTATTCTTCTTTTTAGCTTTGTCTTTTCCTGATGTTCAATAATGAACATATAGTACATTTATAATAAAGTTGTAAAATATTCCATTTAGTTACCTTCTTTTTCACTTGTTATTGAGCATTATATACCAGTTAGAATCTAGTTAACTGTTTCAGAAGTAAAGTATCAATCCCATTTATTAAGATATACATCATAAGTTCAACACTGCTAAATCAAAGGGGGCAAGGAATTTCAGATTTAAGGTAAGAATGACTAAAAAATATAGTCTTCAGTTCCCAATAGAATAACTATAGAAATATCTCCTGGGTCAAACCCAGCTGATTAAGTACCACAATAGTTCATGATGAAGAAAATTATCTCCAAAGTAACTAAAGATCAAATTTAAGCCTTTACCACATGGTGGTATGAAGACTGCCTTTGGAAGTGACTGCAATAATAATAATCTATTATACATAATAACGTATCTAATATTTGAATGCTTTCTGTTTGCTAAACAGTATGCTTTCTACAGACTGTCCCTTCATAACCTCTCAGTCAGGTCCTTATATTATCCTTATTTTACAGAGAAAATAAGGTTTAGAGGATAAGTCAATTTACCCATCACAGTGCCAGTACATGACTAAGCTAGGTCTCAAATCCAAATTTATAAGATTCCAGAGATCAAATTCCCAAGCAACACACTGTATTGTTAAGAAATTAAATTTCCATATCTTTTACATATGTAGTAACAATTCTTCTCTGACAAAAGGGAGTAGGGATGGATACGAACTGAAACGTTTCCCGTTGTATTTTTACAATGAACTAAACTGAAGAATTTACCTGTGGTCTTTCACAGAGAAGCTTGGCTCACCAAACAAATCCCCCAGAAGATCATTTGAACAATATACCATATGTTGTTGCTTCTCATCATATAATCGTTTAGCCATAATATATTGGCCAAGATAAAATATAACCTGAAATGAGAAATATGATTTCTAAGCATCAAAGAAAACTAAATGTTAGTTTCAAATACATTCAATAATATTCTACTTACCTGGAGAGGGTTGAGCAACCAGCAACCACGTTCATAACCATGTAGAGTTAACAACCATTCTATAAATAAAGCTGCTTTTAAACCTTTTCCTTTTAATATAATGAAAGTAGATACTGTTTCTCTGATTTACTTAACTAAACCTTAAAATGTGTAGTTATTTTTTTCCTTGCAGACTTCAGCTCTGCCCAGATATCTAGGTACTATGTATTAGGAAGAAGGGAAAAGGCAGCAAAATGCAAAACCACCGACAGCAATAAAGTTGCAGAATCAAATAAACTTCAAAATACACCAACTAATATGAAGCAGTGACTGGAGTCATTTAGTAAATAATCACGAACACCTCAATGACCTGTGATGTTATCATAGAGGAAGAAGACAGGAAAATGATCAATTATTACTGCATGACAGCTTGGGACAATTCAGTGAATGAAATGAGTCCTCAGATATCATCATAATCTATACTATAATGATCAAAATAATGACCCTGAATCATTACTATAAAGTTAAATTACATTTCATGTGCTCACTAATACAAAGAAGTAAGCAATAATTTTAAGACATCCATATACAAACCTATTAACAACCACCTAAATTTCAACGGCGTTTTACAGTTTACAGTCTACTAGGATTAGCTCATTATCATTCTGATACTTCACAGAACTGTTATCACTATATTAGAAATGAGAAAATAAAAGCTAAGAGAGATTAAATAGTTTGCTGAAGACAGAGAACTAACATACGAGTTAAGACCTGACCCCAAGACTTCTGACTCTTAGTCCAATGCTCTATTACCCCATAATAGCTTTCATCACTCTCCCTTATGCCCCAGAACAAAAATCCTGGAACCTAAAACTGTTATCACATGGCATACATATTACTGTTACACAGTTTATAGTATAAGCATTCTAAGTCTTTAGAATCATCTCATTTCTATCTACTACCAAATTCATACTTTGTTTCCTTAACTGAACATATGATAAAAGTCAAATCCAAGTTAAAACATTTTTTAAAAAAGCCAAACCCACTGCCCATCGAGTCGATTCCAACTCGGAACAACCCTATAGGACAGAGTAGGACTGCTCCATAGGGCTTCCGAAGAGCGGCTGGTGGATTCGAACTGCCGAACTGCCGGCCTTTTCATTAGTAGCCATAGCTCTTACCCACTGTGCCACCAGGGCTCCAAAAATTCAAGTTAACAACCCTAAAAACATCATTTAACCCAACACTTCCCTACAAGTACTATAGATTTAACTGTTTAATTAAGCAGACTTCAGACTAAAAGGAATATTCCTACATGATTATGAATTGAAGAGATGGTTGCTCAGCAGTAAAAAAGGAAGAAGGAAGAAAACCTAGAGTCCTACCAAACACCCATTAAGGAAGCTTATAAAAATGTGGCTGAGCAGTGTTTTAAGCAACCTGGTCCCCATAAACTATGTGGGAGAAACGTGAACAGGCACATTTCATTCACGCTGAAATTTTGCCTAGGATCGCCCACACTCTCACCAAAAGTCATGTTCTGTGCAAAAATTTAAAGTTCAGTAATAAATACATTGAAATGTTGTATCCATGTAACTACAACATGTGCATCAATCAGGTCACCTCTGCCCCAGAAAGAATGGTATACTGTACTCATATATCTCTAGTGCAAAGCTTGTTAACCTGGAGGCCAGGGACTCCCAAGAGGGGCATGGACAGAATTCAGGGGGTCTACTAATTTGGATGAGGAAAAAAAATGTTTCTATCCTTATTTTCACTAACTGAAATTTAGCTCTTCCTTCAGTTATGAATGCAGGCAACAAACCACAATGGTATTAGCAATATCTGTGTTTCATTTCATACTATACTTGTTACAAACATCCCAAAATATCATTTATACTCCTCACTACTCCAAGATTGTATCTATTAGATCTGCTGCTAAATCTTATTTAATATGTTAATAGCTTCAAAATATAGTCCAAATTACCATAAACCCAAAAAACCAAACTCAAGTCAGTTTTGATTCATGTACTACATAATATTGCTGCTTATTGAAAATCCCTTTATCTAGCCAATTATCACCATGGTCTTAGAAACCGTAAGTATGGTTATATATAATAGTACAACATTAGTTATTTCTTTATTTCTAAGTTCAGCTTACCTCTTTCATAGTGTAAGTGTCTTTTTGTGCACCAACAGACTTTAACAACTTCAAAAGCAATGGCTTTGGTCTAACCTATAAAAAGCAAAGAGTTGCTATTATACTTCCAAATTTAGTCCAGAACTATAAGCCTCTCAGCAAACACACGTCACAGATACTCAATTAAGGTAGCAGACTCTATGTTTAACAATCTCACAAGCTCAGACCTCAAAAAATAGGTCATAGTGTTTAAAAAAAAAAAAAAAAATACTAGTTAGCCTATATGAACTATATACCATAGACTGTTAAGGGGGTTTGGAAAAAAAGCTGGGGAGGATCTAATATTATGCAAATATCACAGAGGGCTAAAGTATCGTTGTTGTTGTTGTAGTATGCTGTCGAGTCGATTCCGACTCATAGCGACCCTGTAGAATGGAGCAGAACTGCCCCACGGGGTTTCCAAGGAGCAGCTGGTGGATTCAAACTGCCAACCTTTTGGTTAGGAGCATAAGCTCTTAACCACTTTGCCACCAGGGCTCCTAAAGTATCATTAGTTGCTATCAAAAACAGTACCCATCTCAAGGCAATGAACACTACGCTTTTCCTTCACTATTGCTATCATCATCTGTTACTGCTTTACAAACTCAACTACAAATGGATTACTCAAATGAGCTTAAACTGTTACAGAACCCAAGAAAGAATAATGTTTTAGAATAGGGTGGGTCATTTTATCAATCTTCTCTTCTGCAGATAAGGTTCCTGAAGGCTAGAGAGCTTAAATAACTAACCCAAGCTGACACAGGTCACATACCTCAACTATAACCCAGATTTATTTCTTACTATATAATACTGCCTCTTGGTTGCTCTACAATTTAAATATCTACTTGACAAACATTTACTGAGCTTCAGTATGCACCAGACACTACTAAGTATGGTGGGGGGGGGGGGGACAAATGACCTGCACTCAAGCCTACCACCTAGATCAGGGGTCAGCAAACTTTTTCTGTAAAGGACCAAATGGTAAATATTTTAAGCTCTGTGTGATAGACGGTATGTCACAACTACTCAAATCTGCCATTATTAGTAGTAAAGTGTAAGAGCTATGGCTGCTAACCAGAAGGTCAGTGGTTTGAATCCACCAGCTGCTCACTGGAAATTCCATCAGGCAGTTCTATTCTGTCCTATAGGGTTGCTATGAGTCAGAATCGACTCAATGGCAATGAGTTTTTTCATAGGCAACATGCAGACTAATGGGCATGGCTGAATTCCAATAAAACTTTATTTACAAAAACAGGCAGTGGGCCAAATCTGTTTAACGGGCTACTAGTTTACCTGATCCTGATCAAGAGGCTCTGCAAGTGGCATTGAGAAAATAAATGGCAAGGGGAAAGGGATATAATGTCCTTATGCTCTCTCTCTACATGTTACTACATTAAAATCTGCAAAACTCAAGTATCCTTACAGCTTGCCACTCCCACAGACTGCCTCACACCTCTCTTCAATATGCCCCTATCTTTTGTCTAAACTTGAGATCTGACAGCATTCCAGTTTGGGATCTAACTCCCAAAACCAGATTTAAGAATATTGCCTATTTTCAGCTAATCAACAGAAAAACATTATTTACACTGAAAAACTGAAAATGCACACTAAATACTGGAACGAATCATTAATTATTTTGATCACACAAATTTCTTGTTATATACTTACATATGCATTTTACTTTTCAGCCTATGTAAAGAATGAATGCTATGCTAGCTTCAAGTTACATGAAATAACTTCAAAGTAAAAATCTGCAATGGAAAGCCATCGGTCTTTTATTAAAAGACTTAAAACATGTGCAAGGAGCCCTGGTGGCACAATGCTTAAGTACTCCACTGCTAACCAAAAGGCTGATGGTTTGAACCCACCAGCTGCTTCGTGGGAGAAAAGATCTGGCGATCTGCTGCTGTAAAGATTACAGCCTAGGAAACCCAATGGGCCAGTTCTACTCTGTCATACAGGGTCGCTATGAGTCAGAACTGACTTAACAACACACAACACACGCACACAAGATACATGCATTAACAAGGAAAGTATGATAAAAGACAACACCATTCTTAATTTTACATTTAAGAACAAAAAGATAAATTCCACTTGAAGATTTAGATATAAAAACAAAAATACTAGAAGAAAATACAGGAATGTATTTGCATAATCTTGGAAGTGGAGAGATTTTCCAAAATATATGAAGTTCAAAAAGGAAAAGATCAACAAATTCTGAGTTCAGAAAAATTCAGAACTTGTCAATGATGAAAAGGCAACATAAAGTTAAATGAAACCTCTGTAACAGATAAAAGTTAAATGCACTTCATTCACAGAAAACTACTACAAATTGTTAAAATACGGTAAACCTTAAAGAAAAATAAGACAACCGGGCAAATCCCAAAAGAAACACAAGTGACTTAAATGAAAAGATGCCCAGCCCCATCAGAAATTAGGGAAATATAAACAGTACCTTTTCTCCCTCTTCCAAAAAAATGGCCAAAAAAAAAAGATTGATGATAGTCAATCATAAGATTGTTAAGGAGTGAAAACTTACAACCCTTTTGCTGAGCAATCTGCCAGTACCTAAAAGATATGTGTATCCTTTAGGACCAAGAGGTCAATCTTTCTTACATAAATATACATATAACACTTGGTTTAGGATACATGTACAAAGCCAGTTTGTAATACCCAAAATCTAGAGACAATTTAAAAATCTATCACTAAAGGCATAAATAATAAAAAATGGTGGTACAGTGGTTAAAAGCTTGGCTGCTAACCAAAAGATCAGCAGTTTGAATCCACCAGCCGCTCCTTGGAAACCCTATGGGGCAGTTCTACTCTGTCCTATAGGGTCGCTATGAATCAGAATCCATTCGAGGGCAAAGGGTTTTTTGGGTATACTCATGTTACCGAATACTATGCAGCTGTTAAAAAGAATGTAGCAGGTTTTATTTATTGACATGGGTGGAGGTCCATATGATATAGTAAGTGAAAAATGCAAATTGCCGATCACCCATTTAATCCTGTTTTAGTAAAACAAACAGGAGTATAACATAGATTTAAACACACGTGACTATATACGTGAGCATACACATAAAAAAAGATCTAAAAGGATACATGGGGAAAGAGAAGACTCGAATTTTCAGTTTTCACTTTATACATTTCTGTGACGCCTAAAAGCTTTACAAGCATGAATTACTTTTGTATTTTTAAAAACCATTTGACAGTGCAAAGTAGGGGGGAAAATAAACCAGTCACATAATAAACATAACTTCAGCATCCATGCTTAAGAATGTAATGAAATTCATTTTTAAAGCTCGCTGGGGTAAAGGGCTAAAAAAATATTGACTGATTCTTCAAGTAAACTTTTATTCCAAGCAATTATGCCTGAGACAGGTGGCAGAATTTAAGCTATGTACTTAAAATTTCATTTAAAGAGCTATGTTATTATTGGGGTCTAACAAAATAAAATTTTATAAAAAGTTAGACTTGCAACAAAAATACCAACCAGGGTCTCTTGTTCTGAAGCAGGAATCTGTGAGGTGCTTGCAGCAGCACCATCGGTAGCAGACACAGACATGTTGGTATTGCACATCTGCCTACAAGTGTAGAAAGGGAAAAAACACACACAAATGAGGAAAACTTGAAACAATGAAACATCTGCGAAAACGACAAAATCATACAGAAAGGAGATAAATGATGCTTTTATTAAAACTAAACCCATTAGCAAGCCGGTTCTTACCTGGATTAGTAGTACAGAAAAAGGTGCTGTGCTGTCAGTGATCGCCAATGAACACAGCTGACAAAAGGCATGGTTTTTAAATAGCCTCAGCTGGAGGCAAGTCCGGGCTTAGCTCCTCTTACTGCAGACTCGGAACTTGTCCGAACTTGACCAGCCCAAGAGGAAAAGCTGAGTCAACCTGTCCACTGAACTAGCCCAATCTCGCCCAGGGGCGGAACCCTGTTCAGACAGGCTACCGAACAGGCACCTGTCATCATTCGGACCCCCAGCCAGGCGGCGACGGCGACCTGCAGCTCCCTGCCCACGTGACCTTTACCCTGCCTCCGGGGAGACCCCCACCCCGCTCTCGCCCTACCCCGAGCGCGGGCCCGAAACCCCGCCCTCCTCTAGGCTGTAACAACCTCGCCTCCTTCCAACAAAACCTCAACCCACGTGCCCTGCGACCCCTACCACCAATAACACAAAGACTGCGCCGCGGAGCGTGCGGAGAAGAGGCGAGACCAGCCCGAGCTAGGGCACCTAAGTCACAGACCAGACACAGGACTGACCGTGCGCTTCCGGGCCAATCAATACCTGCTTCTCACCATACGGGGTATTTCTGCGCCAGGAGCGGGGGAGTGGGGGGGATCCCTCGAGGCTCCGCGGTTCCCTTCACGGGGCGCGAGGAGGCCCGACGTCCTGGGCCTTGGCGACCATTCCACTCGCAGGGCCCACGCCGCTGGGGCGCTCGCACGCTGTAGGTCCGAAGGAGGCTCCCGGCGGCGAAAGCGGCGGGACCTCGCTCAGGGGGGTCAGGGCTGCCCCTCAGGCTCGGCTTTTTGCGCCATTTTCCTTCCTGTCACACAGGGCCGTACAGGCCCCGAAAGGAACCTAGCTTGTTGAGATTCCCCCCGTGCGCGCCTCCTACCGCCAGCGGGGAGCGCGCCGGAAGCTGCGGCCTATCCGGGCATTTGCGCGCGCGCGCCCAAGCCCCGCCGCCTCCGCCAATTGGGGAAGGGGTCTCAGCGGCGCGTGTGCAGGCTACCGTCGCCTCCGCGAATGGAGGTTCGAGGGTTCAGCGCCCGCGCGCCCAGGCCCCACTGCCGCCGCCAGTTGGGGGAGGGGTCTTGGCGCGCGCGGCTGGGGCCCGGGGGCCTCTGCAGGTGGGGAGAGGAGGTGCTCGGCGCGCGCCACCGACTGGCCGGACCTCGGCCGCGGTATCACTCCGAGGTGTTCGGCTTGCCCTGCCCGCCGCTCGCCTGGTTTGCCGGCACCGCTTGGGACTTCTTTCGTCGTTGTGCTGTTTTTGTATTTCGTGTGTATACACCTCCCGACTGCTGTGGAAACTGCAGTCAAATATAAACCAAGTCCCGCTGCTGCGGAAAGAGAAACAAAATTAACTGGTCTATGATATATTAAGCCCATACCAACAACCTCTGGAGTCGTATACAAATCAGAATTATTTCAAGCTTTTTTTTTTTTTTTAAAGTAAGATTTAAAATAGCACACAATATACGCTTGGACACAGGTGCACAGAAATGTTTTGGTTGGGAAGTAAGACAGTAGTGGATACCGTTGGAGAATGGGGGTGGGGGGATAAGGAAGACGGTTACTCTTCACTTTATTTTTAGAATATTTGCATTTGTTGGCTGGTTACCACTTGTCTTCTTGGTATCAGAGTGGATTCTGACTCATTGTGACCCTATAAAAAAAACAAACCAAACCCGTTGCTGTGGAGTCGATTCCGGCTCATCATAGGACAGAGTAGAACTGCCTCATAGGGTTTCCAAGGAGCGCCTGGTGGATTCAAACTGCGGTAGCTCTTAACCACTGCGCCGCCAGGGTATAGGACAGAGTAAAACTGCCCACAGGCAGTGGCATCACTGGGGGTGGGGGCGGGGGACCACACCAGGTGACACTGTCAGAGGGAATGACACAGAATGACTGTCTATAAAATTTTTGTGCAATGTTTCCACAGAAATATTTTTTATAAAAATATCCCTGTAGTAATAACAAAAACATTTTTCGTAAGCCCAGCTTACATGTATCGATATACCTACAAGGCTAAAACTCCGTGCTAATTTACTTTTTGAACCTTCTTTTGCCCTCCTGTCAAAGCTGTCATTATTACCCAATTACAATGACGCTTCAAATCACATGGTTTCATCAGCACCCGCTATAAGCACACACTGTTGTTTTCGGTTCTGCTAGTGTTTTGTAGTCTCTGGTTTTGTCAAATTTTCTGGTATTTTAGCTACGATATTGTGGTAATTAGCATGGGAGGGTAACACCATGAGTTACCTCACTGGGTGATGCCAACCCTAGTGACGCCACTGCCGGTATGGGTTTTTAAGGCTGTGATCTTTAGGGAAGCCACATTCTCCTCCCATGGAGCAGCTGATGGGTTCAAACCGCTAACCTTAAAGCCCTTAACCACTGTGCTACCAGGACTCCTTGGTTGGTTAGTTGATTTATGTTAGGCACGCATATCGCTGATACACGGAAAAACCTACTTTTCCCTTTTGGCACGTATCCATAGCGAGTATTTTTGATGCAGTGTTAAAAATGAACAAGGACACAAGAATTGAGTTGACTCAACCCAAAAAGTGCAGTCACTGCAAAGAAGAGCTTCTCCTCTGGCCAGTAAGTGATTAGTTAGTTCCTTGAGAGGAAAAACCACGTTTTTTTATAAAATTATATCCTCTTCTGTCCCTCCTTAACCCGCTAGAAAGGAACTTCCCTTAAACAGAGTGTTCATTCAATTAATTTAATTGCTAACAATATTAATTTGAGGGATTTGGTGTGGCTTTTTAAAAATCTTGTATTTATCGGATGAAATATATAAGATTTCTGGTTGTGAGACCTGGTGTTTGACACCAGATGCAGGTAACTCCAGAGGTGAAGAAAATGTGAACACAAAAAGAAATGATATGGCTTGGCATTTGTTAAATGCCGAATGAATGAACACCTGTGTGCTCTAACAGTGTAAAAACAGGATTGATCAGTGAATACTGGGACAGTACACAAAGGCCTCAGAGAGGGTCATACATATTTTGTGCCTCGAAGGATGGTAAGACTTAAAAACAGAAGACTAAAGAATTTGGATCCACCCAGTGACTGGGTAGGAGCGATACCTGGTTATCTGCTCCCATAAAGATTACAGCCAACAAAACTTAATAGGTAGTTCTATGTCATATGGGGTCGTTATGAGTTGAAATCAACTTGACAGCACACAACAATTTCATCTGCAAGAAAAATATGATTTAAAAAGTCCAGAAGTGAAAATGTAAGAGGAGTGATGAAAAACAATAAATAAATCAGTTTGACTTGCATGAAAGTTAGGAAAAAAGAAAAAAATTCTTAAGAACTTGAAGGATCTTTAAATGCCAAGCAAGGGAATCTGGGCCTTGGACAGAGTAGGCAGTGGGTAGACACTGGAAGCATGTAAACAGGTGGTTTGCTTCAAACTGTATCTTAACAGGACCACCAAGAGCCAATTCAAGCTCTGAATAGTTGGGCCAGCCCCTTCTGTAACAACTTTCATTGTTCAGACCCTTCTCATTGGCTCTGTGAATTATTAGAGCAGAAACAAAGGGCAGGACTAATAGGATTAGTGTTTTTCTAATGGAACTCAAAAAGGAGGGGCAGAAATGAAGAAAGAAGTGATAAAATATAGAGTTATGGAGGGAAAGGAAGAGAGATGAAGCAAGAAGTCAATCTTTCAAGGAATTGTTGAACACTTACTGTTGTACCAAGCACTACCCTAGCCCCAGGTGTGAGCAAGATAGTCATACTCCCTGTCATCATGGAACCTAGAAGGGTGTATGGCAATGAATTTCTCTATATATGGCCTTTCTGGCCCTGGGTTTGTAGTTCTGATAAGATAATTTGCTAGGCTACAATCTTGCAAAGAGATTGGTTAGTCTACTATGCAAATAAGGTACATAAAACCCCTGCAGGTTTTGGTCAATTACTATGCAGACTAGGTGGCTGTGGCCTACCGAGGCAGTTGGTCAGTTTTGCCATCCTGCTAGGCTTAAAAGAGCCAGTCCCACAGAGGTTGACTAGGGAACCTCAATACCACGAAGAAGAAGAGCTGGGAGTGGAGCATGTCCTTTGGACCCAGGGTCCCTGTGCTGAGAACCTCCTAGACCCAGGAGACAGAGAGCTGTAACACTGGAGATGGCGTGAGATAGCACGAGATGGTGCAAAACGGTACAAGAACGAGGAGACTGGCATGAATAGCTGTGGTAGGCTTCCTGGCCCATGAGAGCGGCAGCTGCAGTGGGCTTGTTGACCCATGGAGTGAGAGAACAAATCGCCTACAGGCAGGAGGCTTCCTGGCTGAGTAGGGTACCTCCAGGCACTTATCTATGGAGTTAAAGAGTTGTAACACTTGCCTGAGCAGGGCAGTGTGCCCAAGCAGAAGGGCCCAGCGGCAGTAGGAGCTGAGAGTGTTCTTGGTTGTAAGCCATCCTGACTGATGAACTGTATCCTGTCTCCTGAGTTGTTCATCTTACTTCCAAGTTGATCCTGATCCTGAATTGTAACCTGTTACTCCATAATAAACCCCATAATCATGAGTATGGTCTGTGACTTCTATGTGGCCATTGCAACAAATTATCGAACCCACCAGAAAAGTAGAGAGTGCTGTGGGGAGGATGGCTGGTGTCAGAATTGGTAAAAAGGTTGGAGAGTGGTGGTATGTCTGACCTCCACCTCATAGGACTCAGCTTTGTGCTGGTCTTGATTTTCATCTATCCCCCTGAAGTTACAGGACTTCTGCCACTACCGTGTTAGACAGCGTGACTCTCAATTTCTAGCCAAAGAGAATGATGATACTCTGACAAAAAATAAATGAGTCTGGAGGGGATAAAAAGTTGGGTTGTTGTTGAGTTTTAGGTGATGCACCATGTAACGGAGAGGTCAGTGATAGAAAATCGAAGCTCAGGGCTGAAGACAAAGCTTTGGAAGTGATGGTTGGCCCAACACTTAAGAATTGATGAGTTCCTCAAGGGAGGGAAAAGACTGACTTGGGATATGGCAGCAGAGGTAGAAACAGCAAAAGAACGAGAGAAATTACTAGAAGGCCAACCAACACAAGACCATATAATGGTGTCTCAAAAACCAGAGGAGTCAGTTAATAATACTGAGTACTGCAGACATCAAAGAAGATGAGGAATGAGAAAGGAAGCTGAATCTGTTCACTCTAAAAGCGGTTCCTATTGTTTGTGACCTTATCATAAAAAAAAGAAAAGAAAAAAGCAGACCAGCTGCTGTTGTTTCTCTGCATTCCACAGTTATCCTATTTCACTTTGCCCTTTGTTGTGCTTACCTGAGGCTTTTCTGGGAGCAAGCTTATGCTTAATTTCTAGTAGGATTGTTCTTGGCACTCTCCTTTGTTCCAAGAGATACCTTGAGAATCTTTATAGTCTTTGGGACCTAAACTCTGCAAATACATCCACAGTGGACTCTTATTCTCATCCAAGGGTGACTTCATAACTTGTATTTATTAATCACAACTGACCAGTCTTTAAAGAATGGTAGAAAAGAAACAAA